TAAAAATTTTATAAATAATTTTTAGATGACCTCAACATGTACTATACCAGAGGGAGATATATCTGATGTAGATATTGAGAAGGATGATGACTTTGAAAATGTCACAGTAGTTGATCTAAATATGACCTATGATATTTTACCAGATATTGGGTTGGAACTGGAAAATTATGATAATGATATTATCCCAAATAATAGGAAAACCCTATGGCGAAACAAGGATTTATATAAATATAATACAGAATTTAAACAAGAATTTTTGCCTCCACCTGATAAGGAAATTTCGCCTTACAAATATTTTAAAAAATTTATAGACGATGATATTATTAACAATTTAGTAGAGCAAACGAATATTTATTCTTTTCAATTATCTGGCATATCAGCAAATACAAATAGTAGTGAAATTGAAAAATTTCTCGGAATTCACCTTTATACGGGCATTGTTAAATTGCCATCAATAAGGCAATATTGGGCTATAGAGACAGTGATTCCTCAAATTTCTCAATGCATGACAAGAAACAGATTCTTGGAATTGAGAAAATACTTTAATATTAATGATAATAATAATATAATCCTTAGGGGCCAGTCTAATTACGATAAACTTTTCAAACTAAGACCATTTATTAGTGCATTAAAAATGAACATGAGAAAGATTCAATTAGAGGAAAAATTATCAATTGATGTAATGAAAGTCCCCTTCAAAGGGCGATGTGAATTTAAACAATATATTAGCTCAAAACCGCATAAATGGGGAATTAAAATTTTCGCTTTATGTGGATCATCTGGAATGCTATATGATTTCAAAATATATTTAGGAAAATGCACAAATATAAAAAAACTTTGATGGGAATTAGCGGAGATATTGTTATACGACTATTAGAAACTGTTCTTCCACATAAAAATCATAAAATTTACATGGATAACTTTTTTTCTTCATATAATTTAGAAGTTGCTCTCAAAGATAATGGCTTTATCATGTCGGGGACCATTAGATCTAATCGATTATTAGGATGTCATCTGGTTGATGATAAAATCTTAAAGAAAAAAGGAAGAGGGTCCCTTGATTATAAAGTGGATTCTAATAATAATAATATAATTTGAAAATGGTTTGATAACAAATCGGTTATCACGATATCATCATTTATGGGTATAAATTCCACATCACGAACGAAAAGATGGTCGGTATCTGAAAAATCTTTTATTAATGTCGAAATTCCGGCTATAATTCAAGATTATAATGCTGGCATGGGCGGAGTGGATCTCCATGATATGTTAATTGAACTATACAGAATTGACATAAAATGGAAGCGCTTTTACATGCGAATTTTCTTTCATTTATTAGATTCCTGTGTGGTGAATTCGTGGTTACTCTATAGACGCCACATCAAACAGAAAGATAATAAATATATATTTCTTTTAGCGTTTAAAGCTCGGATAACTAAAGGATTAATGATGGTTGGAAAGGAAAATTATGGAAAAGAAGGTAAACATAATTTGAAGATTGAAAAAAAAGAAAGTGAATAGTTTTCATCGAATCCCAGATATTAGATTCGATAAAATAGGGCATTGGCCCTCGGCGACTAACAGACAAAGATGCAAGAATTGCAAAAATGGTTATACCAGATTTGAATGTTTAAAATGTAAAATATCTTTATGTTTAACACTTTCGCGCCCGACATATTTCCCGTGAACAAAAATTTTTTTTCTTCTAAAACTGAGTTAAATAAGACGCAAATAACACATTTTCAACGTTTTTTATTTTAAAAAGTGTATATATATAGAATTATAAAATGTTACCAATTGTCATCATTGGGATATTCATATGTAAAAAAATAAACAATTTATTTTGAATGATATGAAATAAAACAATTGCGATTTGTCTCTATAGCCCAATATTGCCTTATTGATGACAATTTAACAATGCCCGTATAAAGGTGAATTCCGAGAAATTTTTCAATTTCACTACTATTTGTATTTGTTGATTTGCCAGATAATTGAAAAGAATAAATATTCGTTTGCTCTATTAAATTGTTAATATCATCGTCTATAAATTTTTTAAAATATTTGTAAGGCGAAATTTCCTTATAAGGTGGAGGCAAAAATTCTTGTTTAAATTCTGTGTTATATTTATATAAATCCTTATTTCGCCATAGGGTTTTCTTATTATTTGGGATAATATCATTATCATAATTTTCCAGTTCCAACCCAATATCTGGTAAAATATCATAGATCATATTTAGATCAACTACTGTGGCATTTTCAAAGTTATCATCCTTCTCAATATCTACATCAGATATATCTCCCTCTGATATAATACATGTTGAGGTCATCTAAAAATTATTTATAAAATTTTTAAAAAAATATAAATAAAATTTTCACTTTCTTAACTTTTTGCAAATATTATAGTGGCTTGCTAAATGGAAAATAGCCTATATTCAATTCTTACTATATCATATTTTCAATATTTAATTTTAAAAAATTTATGGAAAAAATTACATAAGAAAATCCCAATGTTACCAATTTGGATTCTCTTTAAAAAATCATATAAAAAATAGTTATTGTTAATTTTTTTCTACTAAACATGAAATACTAGTAATAATCTATCATAAGAATATTATTTACCTTTGATTTATATATATTTATATAGAATGGTAATCGATGTAAAAGTGTAAAAATTTTGGGTAAAATACCTAACTTTGAACTTATATTCTGATATAATAAAATAATCATTTTGCCAGGTTAATGATAAAATATGAAAGAATAAATATTGTTTTGTAAATTAATGTGTCTAAATAGCAACCATTCGTTTTTTAAATATAAAAATTAATTGATTAAAAATTTTGATGACAAATGATCTCGCTGGGCGTGAAAGGGTTAAATAAAAATCGCAATTGTTTTATTTCTTATCATTCAAAATAAATTGTATATTTTTTTACATATGAATATCCTAATGATGACAATTGGTAACATTTTATAATTCTATATATATACACTTTTTAAAATAAAAAACGTTGAAAATGTGTTATTTGCGTCTTATTTAACTCGGTTTTAGAAAAAAAATTTTTTGTTCACGGGATATATGTCGGGCGCAAAAGGGCTAAATGTTAATGAATTTAAAATAAGGCGCCGTTATATAATATGGATCGGTCCAATTCCATAAAAATATAGGTACATCCCTATAAATTATATTCAAAATTTTTTATTATTATTTTAGCATTTTTCAAAATTTCCTGGTTTATATATTTCAATTTTATAGTGTAGGTAATAATATTTTATTATAAATGACGCAAATTTGCTTATGCTCGTAAATATCATTTTAATAAAAATACCTCCTCTCTCCAAAAAACATATACACTATATCATTATAAAAAATAACTTGAAAAAAAAATAAGATAAAAAACCTTTTATAAAACCAAAAATTATTTTTATAAAAATCTAATATAGCCAAAGGCTTACAATAAATGGACCTAAAGATTACCAATAAAATTTATGGGGAAAATCCATCTAATAGTGCTCCCCTCCCTCTTTATAAAATCCCTGATATGTTTTTTATTGTAAATATTAATATTTTATTATAATTATATTATGGGCTATGCGATTAAATGAAACAAAATATAAATGATAAATTAATTTTTAAATTTTTTACTTGTAAATTCTGCATGTATAAAAAAATAAATAAATTGTTATTTTGAATCAATATTTGTTTATGTTCTCCAAACCCTGAACCTAGACCCTTTCTTAAAATTTAACTCCTGAAACTGGACCCAGACCTTTTTTTTGAAGAATTCACATCCCTGTATTTTCTTGTTAAATTAAAAAAACTATGGTTTCGAGATAACTGCTTTAAAAAATTGGAAAATTAACATGAGATATGATTACACTAAAAATAAACCTTTTCTTTAAAATAAGAGATACATTAGATATTAGAATAAAAAGAGTTTGGAATTTAATTCTTATTTTATATTTTATAAACAAAAATTTTAACAGCTATTTTTATTTTTCCATTTATTTTATATGTATTGAATAAGTAAGATGTAAAAAGCTATAAATCATTAAAATATCTGTATTGGACACGTTTCAATTAAATATGAGATATGTGAAAAAAAGTAATGTTACTATTTTTATTAATCAAAGCAATTAGAGAATTACAATATGTATGGAAACATTACACAGCACCAAAATATAAATTACAGATTGATGTAGTCTTCATTTATTTTAAATAAATATTTATCTTAATATAATTTCATATTTAAACATATTTTTACATCTCGGCTTTAATAATTGAATGAAATTTGTTATTGTACTTTGAATTATATGAAAAACCACAAACTTCCTGGATTTTTATATGCATGATAACATTTGTATTCTTTTTAATTCTTAAAGAATTAAAAAAAAATAATTTAGATCTGTATGAACTGTCTTTAAAATTTTGTCGCTTTAATTCAAAATTATTATATAATTAACCTTTTCTATAGATGTCATACCAATTTACAAAGAAATTTTAAAATATTTTTACTTGTATATTATATTATAATAGTTTCATGATAATAAAGCGATACAAAAACAAAATATATGTTAAACCCCACATAACATATATCTGCCAACAGATTTGAAATGGTAATTTATTTTACTCTACATGGAAAATATATTTATGTACAAATGTATAATTTACAAAAAATATATAAAGATTACTTGTTTACATAATATGAAATACTGATCAAGGAATATTTTTTTCAAGATTTTATAATTTAAACAAGGAAACTTTTTGGTCAGAGTATAGCAAATTGTGCATAGTTAAGAACCAAATTTAAAATAAGTTATGCATAATGTACAGAAATAATTATGGATATCATCACAGTTTTATAAGTGCATGTATAAATAAATCTGCGTGTTATGTATAAAGGTTTTTAGAACATAAAAATAATATCATATATTGGTGGAAAAAAAATAAAGAATTTATGAGAATATAGAAAATAAGATTCATAACATGTATAATATTTAACCTATCCTTTTGAGTTTCAAGTGTCGCATTAAAATGTTCTTCCAATTTCATACCCAGGGCTGTTTGTAACGATCCAGTTTCAGGGATGGTAGAAGGCATGATAACATTTTTCGAATCATTATCTAAAATTTTGTATTAAATCAAAAAATTTTCCATAAAATATTGTGAAAAAAGGCCATTCATGAATTGTATGAGAACATCGATCAAAGAAATAAAAATATTGTATCATGGGATTTAGAAGAACTAACAGTTGTACTTGGCCACATTTAATGCATAAAAAAATGTAGTGTTCAAATTAAGAAAAATATAATGCAGTGTTAATACTGTATAAGTAGGCAGGGTGTGGAAATAAAAAATAAATAAAATCGTTAAAATATAAGAATTATTTGACTAATAACTCGAAAATAAATTTTCAAATATTCAACGCTTATATACCTTTAATATTTAATAGTTCTACATTGTAATAAGAATAAATTCTTAATTTATTTACTGCTTATATAATTTCATGCTTGATATCTTTATTAAACTTTTTCCAAGAACTGCACTTATATTTATCAAAATTTTTAAATGGCATTCAATGTTGTCAAGCCCTAATATAAATATGTTAAATACCAATTAGCTAACCTTTAGAAGTGACAGGTAGATTTGATAAGGCACTCGATGAGATATTCAACACTGTGGGTGGTAATTGTGTAGATATAACTTGATTGGGCATCGAGATTGAAGGAGGATAATAGGGTGGGTGTGGGAAGTAAATTGAGGGAGGAGGTAAATAGGCACTAAAAATTGAAATATTTTGATATATTACTTATAGAAAAGTCGGTATGCTTAAATATGGTTTTTTATTATTGTTTATAACTTAATTTGTAGTCAGTATTTTTATAATCTGTATCCACTATGTTGTATCCAATAACTCTTTCTTATCAGTTATTTGCTTTCTATCAACTGTTATCATTTTAGTAGAGGTGTCTCTTTTTTTTACCATCTATATCACACCATTTACTATCTACTACCCCACCTCAATGATATCAAAATAATTATTAAACGCTTAAAAAAATTAAAATCTTAGTTGATATAAATTACATGACATTAATCTATCTAAAAATTTACTACGAATTTAATTTTTAGATATTATAAAAAAAATATGTTTTAAAAAATTGTTGCCTATGTTTAGATATTAAACTAATAAACTAAGCTTGTCGAAATGTTAGGCTGTGTCAATTTATCTATATACTACTTATTTTTTAAAAATTATATTATAAAATAAATTTATAGCCTATTTAAGTTTTTTTCATAATGGGTAGAGCTAAGACCAGAAATATCCAAATTCGTGAGATCATTATTTATTTATCTAAGAGAGGAGTAAAGTCAATCTAATATATACTATTCAAAATAAAGGAAGTCTAAAATTAACTAATATGAGATTTATGCAATTGAAAAACAAGTTTAGTATCAAGTTATCAAATAAGATTATATTCAATAGGTTATTCCTTCTTTAAGATACAAAAAAAATCATTCTAAATTCGGTTTGTTCCTTATAGCCTAAGAAGAAACCATTTAAAACAACATCACACAAAAGAAAAGAATAAATTAAACAAAAGTATAAAGGGAAACATAATCAGAGATAAATAAAATTTTATATATGGACATTACAAAAATATGGTAGTAGGAACATTAGCAGATATTTTCATTTATGATTATTTAAAAAGAACGTTAAGTTTCCATATAGTATAATCGAATGAGGGTGCATGAGTGTCGTTAAATATTAAATATTAGGGCGGTGACAATATTAAATATCGGATCGGCACCGATATTTAGCGTTTTCCAAAAATATCGGATAGGGCAAACCCGATCCAATCTTTTTACTTTTCTTTTTTATTATTTTATGTATATTTATTTTACAATAATAATATTTTCTAAAGATTTATAGTATTTTAAAAGTTTTTTATAAAAATAGAAAGGAACACCCAAAGTTGTCATATTATTATTTAAAATTATTTATTTTTAAAAATTATTTTGTTTAATATTTATCAAATTTATAAATAGTCGCCTGATTTTATAAATCACGTGTAGAACTCGTGATCTCTTTGTCCAAAAAAGTATAAAAGGGATTAGATTTTATAATTATTATGACTTTTTGTTTTTTTAAATATATTTAATCAAATAAATTTGGAGTTGAAAATTTATTAATTTTAGTTTTAGAGTTGTGTTGGTTAATTATTAGTTGTAAAATGGCCTTGTACTACTAGTAGTTTTTTATAGTATATAATTTTCACAATAACGGTTAGTTTTTTATAGTGTATAATTATCATAAAAGTTTTATTTATTTTATTTTTAAATAATAACGCCAATTTTATTATTTATACCTTAAATAAAAGAATTTTTTTTTAAATATGGTATCTGAATTATGGAAATATTTTACAAAAGACAAATATAATTTTGCAAAATGCGTTATCTGCGGAATTCTAATTTCATGGGGAGGAATAATGAAAAATTCATTTAATATTAGGGCCATTCCACGTCAAATCGATCAAGATTCGGCCGACCCCTTTTAAAATTGTTAAAAATTTCTGGAATTATTTAGATAGGTAAAAGAGTGAGAACGCCGTTTACTTTAGCTCGCTAGCACACCTGGTTCTCGAGATAAAAGGGCTCAAAAAGGTACAAAAAAGAGCCACTTTGGAATCTGTAAAATTTTTAAAATGCTTATATCTCATAAACTATTTATAGTAAAAAAAATTATGATATATCATTTTGTACGTAAAGAAATTCTCTAATGGGCTAACAAAGAATAGTAAATATTGGCGCCATTATAGGCTTTTAACATCCGGTTTACCTAAATTTCTTTACCTGTATTTTTGAGCAAAATAGTGAGTTTATTTTCGATTTTTTTTATTGCTTTTTATTTAGACACCTTTGCAATATACATACAATATCAAAACCTTGGCGACGCTATCGACTCCAAAAAAAATAGATGGCGCTTTATGAAATTACGGATTAGGTTAAAATTTTGCTGCTAACTTATCAATAACCAGATATTTTCACTTTTATATAAAATATTGATTTTCTATTAAATATACTAATTAACTGAGGAGCAGAGTGGGCATATGCCCATTAGACACTTAATAATGTAACAAATTTCCAATAATAAATATCTTTCATATAATTTTTTTAATTTTTAAGGTATGTACAATTTCATCGAATTTTTCATCATATGATGAAGATAATGGTGTAATTTTAGTCGTTAAAACTTTTTTTTACTCTAGATATTCTTTTCTTCGAATATTTCTTTTTTCATAAGCGTTTTCTTTTAATGAGAGATTCCCCATTTGATTGTAGGGATATATTAATTTTATCAATAGCCTCTTGATTAATATGAAGGGGAGAATCAATATCTACATTGTCATTTGAAGTATAAGTAATGTTTGCTAATTTTTGTCGCTATGAAGAGCATACTAACATATCTAAATTGAATGGTAAATTTTTTTGGATCATCCAGGGTAGAATCTTTCTTAGATTCTCGCGATAATAAGCATGTCTCTGTAGATTAAATGGGTTGCAACATTTTAATATTTGATACGTCCATCTGTGATATAAAATAAAATTTTAATTGATCTACACATAGAATACATGTTTTTGCACTCTCCAAATCTAGATTGTTATTGGTAGACAGACGATAAAATTAATCTGAACGACAGGTTAAAATTATTTCGCAGAAAGGGAGATCGTTTTAAACAATTTATTTTGTAAAATATACGAATATATGCGGAATAAAATATTCGTTTTTACTGCAACTGTTATATATTATCGTGCTAAAAGTCATTCGCTCGCTAGTAGCAAAGTAGAGATCTAAAAAATGTAAAACATTTTAAGGATGGTGGGAGGGGTGGGGAGGGCAGAACTGAAAAATTTTATCACATTTCTTATAAACGTATCAATATTTCCATTTTCCTTAAGAGTAATATTTTTCAACCATTAGCGCCATCTACTTTTTCTTCAATTATAGGTAAAAATGTATATTATGGAAAAGTCAATAGCGTCGCCAAGGTTTTGACATCGTATATATATTTTTAAAAGGTGTCTAAATTAAAAGCAAAAAAAATTCGAAAACAAACTCACTATTTTGCTTAAAAATACATGTAAAGCAATTTAGGTAAACCGGATGTTAAAAGCCTATAATGGCGCCAATATTTACTATTCTTTGTTAGCCCATTAGAGAATTTCTTTACCTACAAAATGATATATTATAATTTTTTTTACTATAAATAGTTTTTGAGATATAAGCATTTTAAAAATTTTACAGATTCCAAAGTGGCTCTTTTTTGTACCTTTGAGCCCCTATATCTCGAGAACCAGGTGTGCTAGCGAGCTAAAATAAACGGCTTTCTTATTCTTTGACCTATCTAAATAATTCCAGAAATTTTTAACAATTTTAAAAGGGGTCGGCCAAAAAAGTGCCTTTTTGATCGATTTGACATGGAATTGTCCATTACCAATATCCGTAAACTTTTTTTAATTGTAGAAATAAAAAAATTAAATGCATAATTCAATTTTTTCAAAAAATATTGATTTCTTAATTACATTTGGTTCAAAGAGGAGGGGGGGGGGGTGATGAAAAATTAATATAAATATCGGAATAGTTTTGAACTAATATCGGATCGGTGAAAAATATGTGGATCGGCACAACTAAATATCCTCAAAAAAGTACTGACCCTCTCAATCGATTAATAAAACATGAAGTAAATTAACTTTCCAGCAAGATGGTATTACTTGTCATACTGCATAGTAAAAAAATTAAAAGGATCTTAATATCCGTTTGTCACCATGTCCCAAATCTCAATCATATTCAAAAAAAATTGTTACTTAAACTAGAGCTAAGAAAACAGAAAATTACATGAAAAATAAATTAGTTCTATATAAAAAGGGCATCTCATATGTGGGCCAAAATCTAGTTAATTTAATGCCACAAAGAATAGCTGTAGTTACATGACAAAGAGATAAAAAACAATCTTAATAAATCTGAGAGAAAATAACGATATTTTAGCATAGTAGACTGAAAATTTTGCATAATTACTGTTAAATCAGTAAGTGACTAGCATCTGTGTTTTTTATTATTTTATAAAAATATAAATAATAGATACGCTAGTCACTTATCTTTAAATCATATATATTTTAAATATTAATCATTTAAATATAATAATTATGTTAAAACTTGTTCATTATGTTTTAAATTTTGTTATTAGACATATATAAAGTTTTGAAGAAAAAAAGGAATTTCTATGATAATTTTTTAAATTAAAAATTTTAATAAAGTAAAAAAAATAAGAGTTAATCGATATCAATGACGTGGAGTATATTCATCTTCACCATTTACTAGCTGGCTAACATAATTTTTACCTTTTGGCTAAGCTATAAGTCTATTAGCTTATAGTAACATCATTCAATCATTTTTTACACTCCTTCTAGAAGTTGACATTAATTAAACCGGTCATAATCTTAATGAAAACTTTTTTCTCATTATCTTAAAAAGTATAGGGAAGCTAGTAGTAATTCCTTAACTACTTGGCCTTAATCCAAATTGTTGGTTTTTCCCCATATTATATTCATTTTGAAATATATTTTGTGTTTTTATTACACTTATATCGAAAAATTAGTATTACCTATTTGGCATTTGCAACGTTGGGAAATTACTGATAGGTGTTGGATACATATAAGGATTGGGAACTGGCATGCTAGATGGTTGGACGCCTATATTTAAATGTTTTGTAAAATAATATGCGTATATTTTTGGGTTAGTTCCATTCATTTTTTAAGGTATAATATTTATTTATTCTAAAAATTCAAATATAACTCAGTATGAACCACAAAATATTTGTAAGGAGAATAAGATCTTTAAACATTCGATTGTTGGGTTGTTATAAAAAAGATTAGGTTAAATTAAAAAATTACCAATATTTGTGTTTGTATCCAAACCAAAATTCATTGTTTTATGCCTATTAACAAATGTTGGAGGAGGTTTCAGATGCGATAAATTATAATACATGGTAGATATCTAAAATATAATAAAAATTATTATAATATTTTGTATGGTCGAAAAATGATGGTAATCTTGGTATCTAAAAATTATTTAACAACATTTAGCGATTAGGAAAAGTGCACATAAGTTTATTAATGTCATTATTCTATAGATAATGTGGTGATAGAAAATATTCTAGGAATTCTACACAATTCAATTTTTTGTCTTGAGAAGTGCACTAACCAGTGAGTTTCAATATATTTATGATTAAATATGTACAAAAATGACATCGATTTTAAATTCCTAACAGAACATTAACGCTAGTAATAAAATGTAAACTTACTTGAGTATGACTACAAATAATCTTTAAAGTATTGATACCAGACTAAATCAAAGTATTTTTAAAATATCCAACCAGATTTGACACTAGATCATTAAAACTTATACTTAAGTTACGCCTCCAGCACATACAAGGCAACCATCAATAGCTAATGTTATGTGATAAAAAAGATGGGAGCAAATAAAAGCCTTAGACTTTATTAAAGATAACTCTACACCTACACCAGATTCAGAATCTGTTCATCAAGATATCCGAAAAATTTTTGAAGGAAATTTTCATGAGAGAATCGGTGTCGACGAACGAGTAATCCCCTATAAAGGAGCTGCAAAATCAAGCATGTAAAAAAATTGGGGATATACAAAAAAATGGCGATAAAACATTTCGTTTATGCAAAAGACGGGCTAGTATATAATTATAATATACAACAGCAAAATAGAAAAAGTTCACGGATTTCCTGATATTGGGGCCAGCGGAAATGTAGTCGTGCCATTTCATTTTAGCTATAAATTATGCTTTGATAATTGGTTCTGTGGGACAGAACTTGCCCTACTCGCCCAAAAGGGAATTTATTGTATTTACAACGAGGGCTAATCGAATATATAATTAGTTTCCAGAGGAAAAAGAATTCAAAAAGATGGGACTGTATCTTTTATTGAGAAGGCAACAGTAAATGATATAAAATTACATATCATTAGGCATGATAATAGGTCTGTAATTATCCTAAGTGTATATACAAGAAGTTATCCTGTCGAAGATTGTGAGCAGTTTGATAGAAAGAACGGCGGAAAATTTAAATTCCATGTCCAGTGGCGATAAAAGTTTTTAATAAAAATATTGAAGGTGGATTCACTGATTGCTTTATACTGGACTCACATAAGATCACAAAAATGGTATTTCCGTCTAGTATTTCATATACTTGATATGATGCTTATAAATTCTTGGTTATTGTATAAGAGTGATTTTTACTAAATTCCCAATACAAGAAGATATAACATTAATACTTTTAAAACTTCAATAGTAGAGGTACTCTACAATTACAATAAAAATATGAACATTTGCACAAAAAAACGAGTGTTGATTGATGCCAAATATACAGAAATGACATGTCTTATTTCACAGAAGTAAATAAGACATGATTTAATAACTCATTGGCCAAAGTATAGTGCAAATGTGTGGTGAAAGAATCCTGGATATAAATTGGTTAAGATTTGTACCAATGTTATTACTTTTAAAAACGATTGTTTTAAATGATTTCATGAAAATTAATATAAAGTTTTAATATTATATCATTTATAAAATAATACTCTTTTTTTGTGAAGTTTGGTATTTAAAAAATTTAATACTTTATACACACATTGTGTATTTAAATACATACACTAAAAATTTTAAGCGCTTTTCTGATTTTTTTAAAGTTATAGAAATACTAGAGAGACGAAAATAATGGAATTTTTAAAGTTATTTCATTTTTTATATGGGGCGCAATAGAGTTTTAAAAAATATTCTATTTAATTATAATTAATAATACACTACTTATATTTCTATCTAGCATTTTATATTTTGGCGTTTTAGACCCCATCCCTAGTTTATATATTATGTAGATTTTAGTATAAGTATTTACATTTTACCTCCAGCATTAGTGTTCTGAATAGGGTTACAAAACGAAGTATTTTAAAAAAATAAATGATATAAATAATACATATTAAACAAGGAGATAGGTATATATATTTTACAAAAATATAAGTAAAAAGATTATTTACGCTAGTTAATGGTGTACACAAACTCGAAACTGAGCTAACGGTTGGAAAGCTAAAATAAATAATAATTTTAAGATAGCATATATAAAGTTATCTTTATAAATAAAAATTCTACTTTCAATCCATGTTACAAGAAGACATTAAATAATATTTACAATACTGTTAAAAATTTATGATATATTATACTTAAATTTTTTATTACAACATTTATCTAGAACAACTCTATTGTTAGCAATTACAAAGAGATAGTGTTAAAAAGCCCGATTTGAGTCGATTTTTAAAAATGGGCTGATCAAGATTTTAGCCAAAATAATATTATGTATGCCTCGATATTTGGTAAATAGACGTCCATACCTTTCTTAAATCTATGAGCAAAATCATCTGGCTTATATAATATTATTTTAGCAAAAATCTTAATCGGGGTTTGTTTTTTTACACTATAAAGAGGAGATGTGTTAAAAATATATTTATTTTTTCGTTAGAATGAAAAAATAACTAAGTTGTGTATTTTATAATTAGTATTACTGGTTTCTAAATAATTATAAGTAGTGTTGTTAAAAAGTCGAGTTCTTACGACTTGCGACTCGAGTCGTAAAAAACGGCTGCGACTCAAGCCGATCAAGGAGCCGCATGAGTCAGCTCGCTTAGTGGGCTCAGAGGGTAGCTTGAGTTTATTTTAAATTTAGAGCCAAAAATTATTTTTATGTTATTGAGAAATTTTAAATAATAATGTAGAATTTTATTTATTTATTTTTAGTAAAATAATTTATTTTATTTATATTTTATTTAATGCAAATAATATGTTTTGATTTGATTATAATAAAAATGGATTTATTTATTTGATTTTTTTTTAAATAAAAAAAAATTAATATTTTTGAGCTAAAAATTTTAAGCAAAAAATATTTTTTGAAGTAAAAAAATATTTTTGAAACATATTTTGCTGATTTTTTGAAGAAATTTTATTCTTTTGTTTTATCATAAAATTTTATTCTTTTTTTAATTATATCATAAATAAATAATCTTTTAGGTCAAATCTTCTATAGTTTTTTTTATATTATTTTTATAAATATATCTATATTTTAAGTTTATTATTAGAGGTGGCTTTTTCTAAATATTTTTTAATTAATATATTTATATATCAAGAATATAAAAGAGGTGGTTTTTCTAAATTATTTTTTTATTAATATTTATGTCAAACTTTTTTTTAATGCGACAATTGTCATATGCGTTATTTTTTAAGATTTTTGAAATTTTTGGACACAAAAGGGTTATAATATAATTTATATTGTAAAGATATTATATTATAAATTCAATGAAGATGTTCCCTGGAAAAATGATAATTATCATAATAGGTAGGTATATTTTTGAACATATAAGATTTTTTTGTGACGCTGATGGGCAAAAATATGTTTCTTTAACAGGTAAAATTTAATGTAGATGTACCCTAGATAAATGACAATTGTCATAATAGTTATTTTTAAAGTTTTTTAAATTTTTTTGACGTAAATAAACATGTCTAAATAAAACTTCAGTGAAGATATACCCTAGAAAAGTAACAATTGTCATAATCGTTGTTTTTAAAGTTTTTTGAATTTTTTTGACGTAAATGGGCTAAAATAAGCATTGCTAACATGTTAAAATAAAATTTAAGTGAAGATGTACCCTAGATAAGTGACAATTGTCATAATCGTTGTTTTTAAAGTTTTTCGAATTTTTTTGACGTAAATGGGCTAAAATAAGCATTGCTAACATGTTAAAATAAAATTTAAGTGAAGATGTACCCTAGATAAGTGACAATTGTCATAATCGTTGTTTTTAAAGTTTTTCGAATTTTTTTGACGTAAATGGGCTAAAATAAGCATTGCTAACATGTTAAAATAAAATTTAAGTGAAGATGTACCCTAGATAAGTGACAATTGTCATAATCGTTGTTTTTAAAGTTTTTCGAATTTTTTAGACGTAAATGTGCTAAAATAAGCATTGCTAACATGTTTAAATAAAATTTAAGTGAAAATGTACCCTAGATAAGTGACAATTGTCATAATCGTTGTTTTTATAGTTTTTCGAATTTTTTTGACGTAAATGGGCTAAAATAAGCATGCTAACATGTTTAAATAAAATTTTAGTGAAGATGTACGATAGATAAGTGACAATTGTCATAATCGTTGTTTTTAAAGTTTTTCGAATTTTTTTGACGTAAATGGGCTAAAATAAGCATTGCTAACATGTTTAAATAATATTTTAGTGGAGATGTACCATAGATAAATGACATTTGTCATAATCGTTGTTTTTAAAGTTTTTCGAATTTTTTTGACGTAAATGAAATAAGCATTGCTAACATGTTTAAATAAAATTTTAGCGAAGATGTACGATAGATAAGTAACAATTGTCATAATCGTTGTTTTTAAAGTTTTTCGAATTTTTTTGACGTAAATGGGCTAAAATAAGCATTGCTTAAATAAAATTTTAGTGAAGATGTATCATAGATAAGTGACAATTGTCATAATCGTTGTTTTTAAAGTTTTTCGAATTTTTTTGAAGTAAATGGGCTAAAATAAGCATTGCTAACATGTTTAAATAAAAATTTAGTGAAGATGTACTAAGAAAATCATAATATTTTTTTTATTTTTGTCAATTTTTCATTAACTTTTATTTATTTTAGTTATTCCTTTTTAATTTCTTTCTATTTTTTTATTTATATTTATGTCAAACTTTTTTTTAATGCGACAATTGTCACATGCGTTATTTTTTAAGATTTTTGAAATTTTTTGACACAAAAGGGTTATAATATAATTTATTTTGTAAAGATATTATATTATAAATTCAATGAAGATGTTCCCTGGAAAAATGATAATTATCATAATAGGTAGGTATTTTTAAACATATAAGATTTTTTTGTGACGCTAATGGGCAAAAAGTTGTTTCCTTTAAACATTTAAATAAAACTTCAGTGAAGATGTTCCCTGAAAAAGTGACAATTGTCATAATCGTTATTTTTAAAGTTTTTAGCAAATGGGCATAAATATAGAATGCTAACATGTTAAATTAAAAATTATGAAGATCTACCCTAAATAAATTCTAATGACAATTGTCATAATCGTTATTTTTATTTTCAATATTTTTAATTTTTTAGCCTAAATAGGCTAAAATAGGTATTGCAAATATTTAAATAAAACTTCAGTGAAGATGTACCCTAAAAAAGTGACAATTGTCATAATCATTATTTTTAAAGTTTTTTAAATTTTTTGACGCAAATGGGCATAAATATAGATTGCTAAGATGATAAATTAAAAATTTAATGAAAATGTACCCTAGATAAATGACAATTGTCATAATAGTTGGTACATCTCCGCTAAAATTTTATTTAAACATGTTAGCAATGCTTATTTTAGCCCATTTACGTCAAAAAAATTCGAAAAATTTAAAAACAACGATTATGACAATTGTCACTTATCTATCGTACATCTTCACTAAAATTTTATTTAAACATGTTAGCAATGCTTATTTTAGCCCATTTACGTCAAAAAAATTCGAAAAACTTTAAAAACAACGATTATGACAATTGTCACTTATCTATGATACATCTTCACTAAAATTTTATTTAAGCAATGCTTATTTTAGCCCATTTACGTCAAAAAAATTCGAAAAACTTTAAAAACAACGATTACGACAATTGCCACTTATCTATCGTACATCTTCGCTAAAATTTTATTTAAACATGTTAGCAATGCTTATTTTAGCCCATTTACGTCAAAAAAATTCGAAAAACTTTAAAAACAACGATTATGACAATTGTCACTTATCTATCGTACATCTTCACTAAAATTTTATTTAAACATGTTAGCAATGCTTATTTTAGCCCATTTACGTCAAAAAAATTCGAAAAACTTTAAAAACAACGATTATGACAATTGTCACTTATCTATAGTACATCTTCACTAAATTTTTATTTAAACATGTTAGCAATGCTTATTTTAGCCCATTTACGTCAAAAAAATTCGAAAAACTTTAAAAACAACGATTATGACAATTGTCACTTATCTATGATACATCTTCACTAAAATTTTATTTAAGCAATGCTTATTTTAGCCCATTTACGTCAAAAAAATTCGAAAAACTTTAAAAACAACGATTATGACAATTGTTACTTATCTATCGTACATCTTCGCTAAAATTTTATTTAAACATGTTAGCAATGCTTATTTTAGCCCATTTACGTCAAAAAAATTCGAAAAACTTTAAAAACAACGATTATGACAATTGTCACTTATCTATCGTACATCTTCACTAAAATTTTATTTAAACATGTTAGCAATGCTTATTTTAGCCCATTTACGTCAAAAAAATTCGAAAAACTTTAAAAACAACGATTATGACAATTGTCACTTATCTATAGTACATCTTCACTAAATTTTTATTTAAACATGTTAGCAATGCTTATTTTAGCCCATTTACGTCAAAAAAATTCGAAAAACTTTAAAAACAACGATTATGACAATTGTCACTTATCTATGATACATCTTCACTAAAATTTTATTTAAGCAATGCTTATTTTAGCCCATTTACGTCAAAAAAATTCGAAAAACTTTAAAAACAACGATTACGACAATTGCCACTTATCTATCGTACATCTTCGCTAAAATTTTATTTAAACATGTTAGCAATGCTTATTTTAGCCCATTTACGTCAAAAAAATTCGAAAAACTATAAAAACAACGATTATGACAATTGTCACTTATCTAGGGTACATCTTCACTTAAATTTTATTTTAACATGTTAGCAATGCTTATTTTAGCCCATTTACGTCAAAAAAATTCGAAAAACTTTAAAAACAACGATTATGACAATTGTCACTTATCTAGGGTACATCTTCACTTAAATTTTATTTTAACATGTTAGCAATGCTTATTTTAGCCTATTTACGTCAAAAAAATTCGAAAAACTTTAAAAACAACGATTATGACAATTGTTACTTTTCTAGGGTATATCTTCACTGAAGTTTTATTTAGACATGTTTATTTACGTCAAAAAAATTTAAAAAACTTTAAAAATAACTATTATTACAATTGTCATTTATCTAGGGTACATCTACATTAAATTTTACCTATTAAAGAAACATATTTTTGCCCATTAGCATCACAAAAAAATCTTATACGTTCAAAAATATACCTACCTATTATGATAATTATCATTTTTCCAGAAAACATCTTCATTGAATTTATAATATAATATCTTTACAATATAAATTATATTATAACCCTTTTGTGTCCAAAAATTTCAAAAATCTTAAAAAATAACGTATATGACAATTGTCGCATTAAAAAAAGTTTGACATAAATATTAATAAAAAAATAATTTAGAAAAACCACCTCTTTTAATATACTTAAAATATAGATATATTTATAAAAAAAATTATTTAGAAAAAGAAAAACCAGCTCTTTTGTATATTCTTAAAATATAGATATATTTATAAAAAAATTATTTAGAAAAACCACCTCTTATTAATAAAATAAACTTAAAATATAGATATATTTATAAAAATAATATAAAAAAACTATAGAAGATTTGACCTAAAAGATTATTTATTTATGATAAAATTAACAAAAGTATTTCTTAAAAAAGATTTAAAAATTTATAAAAAAATCAACAAAATATGTTTCAAAAATATTTTTGTATTTCAAAAATTATTTTTTGCTTAAAATTTTTAGCTCGAAAATATGAATTTTTTTTTATTTAAAAAAAATCAAATAAATAAATCCATTTTTATTATAAGATCAAAACATATTTGAAATAAAATTAAAAAAAATTTTTTGTTTGATAATAATAAAATATTAACATTAAATATAAATAAAATAAATTATTTCACTAAAAATAAATAAATAAAATTCTACATTATTTAAAATATCTCAATAACATAAAAATAAATTTTGGCTCTAAATTTAAATTAAACTCAAGCTAACCTCTGAGTCAACTAAGTGAGCCGACTAAGTGAGCTGACTAAGTGAGCCGACTAATGCGGCTCATTTAGTCGACTCGAGTCTGAGCTGTTTTATCGACTAGAAACTAGGCTCGAGTCGTAGCTAAGTCGACTCGGCTTAGCCGTTTAACAACACTAATTATAAGTCTAAAATTATTAGATGACTTCCTTTCTTTTAGAAATTTCCTCGTATTTCAACATTTTTGGGGTAAAAAAAATAAATTGTCAATACTTTGGGTTTAAAGAGGTCAGATAATTATCGACAGCGTTTCTAAGCTTTTGGTTTGGTATAAGGATCCCAGGAGATATGTCACATTCGTGACAACTTGGACATATTCTGTCTTCATGATCTAACAGAGCTTTCGATATGCCTGTCAATGTTTTATGAGATAAACAAATTTAGACTTGGTATAAAGAAAAGAACGAATATCTTTAAAAAGTGGAAATGATATATATCTGAAATGCATTTGTAACAAAAGTTTAAAATATGGATGACCTTAATGTGATGAAGAAATAAATAATAAGTAAAAATATAAAAAAAGTACATCGATAAATAGATATAAAAAAAAAATAAAGATAATGTAAAGATATATATTTTACATTGATAACAAAAACTGTTGCCACAGCAAGGGACAACTGTAGCATCCTTCATAAGCTTAGCACATATACCACACTCCAAGTCCTTGGGAACAGGTTTTGTAATGATCACTTCCACGACAGGATTCCGAGTATCAGTTGCAGATGCAATGGGTAAGAAAGGTGGAGCTTCAATTTTCTTATCTATATAAGCTCGCCTATGGAATAATAATATTTTAATTTATAACTTTGCTGTCCTTTTATTAACTAATTCTTACTATATCAAAATAAAGGAAAAAGAAAAATATTGAAAGAATATAGTTAGTTTTTTTGACTCACTGATCAATGATGGGGACAGCAAATTTGCCTTCATTAGTCAACAAGGCCCCTTTAATATTGGGTCCTTGGACAGGAGTCATAAAACTTCTAGGTATACCGGTGCTTCTCTTAATTCGATTTTCGAAATTGTTGTTTTCGGTCTATAAAATGAATGATATATTATACCAAAATAAATAACAAATAATTTATGATTTATTATCTCACCAAACCTGCCACAAAGGAAACTTAATAAAATGATATAATTCAGTCAAGTTTAATATCACACTTTTAACACTCAAAACTATAAGCGGAGCATATTCTGATAAATTTCAACTTAAAGGGCGCACTAATCATTATCATATCAGATTATCATATTATATGATAATCATTTCTGATCTTATCCATCACGATTCTCCTGACCCTATGAAATTTGAAGAAAATTTTAATACAGGGTACATGTAACTAAAGCCGTGTTCAAATTTTAGCCTCATATCTCTTATAATTTCAGAGATATCGAGGGTCAAAGTATGAAAAAAAAGTGTACTTTTAAAATTATCGTTTGTTATTCAATTTAAAATTTATGAAAAACTATGGAATTATAAATAATAATTCTTATATCAAAATTCGATTTTTTAAAATTATTTAAATGTTTTTGAAGTTTAAAATCCTTGTAAAAATGAATTTTTCAGATGTTTATAAAATTGCATTGGAGTTTCAGGTTTTCGTTTTATAGTGAAAATCAATAAAACACCAAAAAACCATGATATAAAATGTATATATTTGTATAAAAATAAGATATCTACAACACTGATGCAAAACTATAATATGTTTTCGGGTAATATGGTATAATACACGTAAAATTTACTGTTAAATATTTTCCACCAATAAAATTTAAAATGTTACATAAATATGCGATGCATAATCTTTATTATAATAAAAATATCAAATAAGAAGATTATAAATAATATTAGAATGATTACTTATGATAAAAATATCAAATAAAAACATTATAAATAATATTAGAATGATTACTTATGATAAAAATTTTTTTTTGTTTATTTAGTTGTTTTCGTATATTTTTAACACAGAGATAAAAAAATTTGGCATTTTTTTTATGCATAGAGATTGGCAAAATTTTATAAAAAGCTGAGAAACTCATTATTTTTTGCAAGGATTTTAAATTTTTGAATGAGGATAAATGATTAAAAATCAATTAATTAAAATATTTTCAAAAAATAGAATGTTTCCACTTTATTTAAATATTAAAAATAGTTAAGCATAAAAATAGAATATTTATCATACTATTTACATTTGTTATTTTCAAAAATATCAGAGCAGGATGCTAAAATTTGAATACTGTTACCTTAGTTCACATACAACATTTCAATCAAATCTTAATAGGTCCTGCGAAAATCATTTTTTTGATCAAATGTGCATTAAAAGATCTAAGCTCATACAATATCCATATCTATAAATAAATCCTTTTAAAGATTTACTCTCAGGGTAAATAAATATTATGTGGGTAAAATTACATAAAACTTCTGGTTAATAATAATCAAATTTTAGTTATGTATAAAATGGTAATATAAATTAAAAATAAATTTACAAAAAAGGGACAAAATTGAATCCAATGTCCAATTTGATGACATTTAAAACAGACATATGTCGAAGGAGGAGGGTGTCTAAATTTTAAATTCTGGTACCTAAAATGATATATAAAATGTTTTAAAAAATATTTATAATTATTTTTAACAAATTATAATAATCAATATAAAATGTTGAGATATAGTTCCATAATGATTGTAAGATTATATTCCTCTTTAAAGGATGACAATTTTTATAAAAGTTATTAAGTCATAAGCAATTTAGGGGGGGGGGATGTAATGGGTGTGTATAGGATTTTTCTTACATATACTACGGTAAAATTTTAGCTTCCAAGTTTTTATATTTTAGGAGATATCGTAAAAATGATCTAATTTTATATTTGTCCGTAGTTATTCAATTATTGATTTATCAAAACTATCAAATTGTAAATAATAATCAAAATAGATATCATTAATTTTTTAAATTTCAAGGGCATCTTATGTCCTAAATAAAAAATTAAAATCCTTAAAAAATAATGAGTCAGAGGTCTACAAAGATGAGTTTTGCCTGCCCGCCATGGTGAAAATTCAAATATTGGGCGGGTGGGCGGGTTAAAAAATATTTTTAAAATAATGGCCGAGTGGAATATTTTACAATATTGCATATTTTATTAGTTTAAGTAAAAATATTTAAATAAAAGAAACATGCTAACCAATCCAATAATCTTTAAACAGTGAGTGGGCAAAACAAAAATGGGTGGCTAGAGGTAAAAAATTTATAGAACGATGGGCGGGAGGGTTAAAAAATTAAAACAAAGGTTATTTAGATTATTATTTTCAAAAAATTCTATAAATATAAAACGATTTCACAAGCAAAATCGATAAAAGAAATATAAAAAATAAAATATTTTTGAAAGTGTCAGGCGTATTTTATTAATATTTCCTACTTAATATTTTCAATCAATAAAATTTATTCATACTATTATATAAGATGTAATTTAGATATAGCTGGGTAATTACTATATTTTTAGCTGTTTTAAGTCAATTTTTAGCCGAAAACAATAACTTTGGCCTCGTGGTTTTTCTTAAAAAGATAGCAGCAAAATTTGGAAGAAACTAATATAAATTAAAACACCTTAGGTTAACAAATTTTCTCTGGCAAGCGCCTGAAGATTATGCCTAATTAGATGACATTTCGCCATTACCCAACTATAATCTATGATATTGATGAGTTTGAATTAAGAGGATGTGCGTTTTTCGTGTTTGGATTGACATTAAAACATATGTTTACAATATTGTACAAATAAAATCATTGTTTTCAGTTAGCATCTGTATCTCAGACGCTTTAGGTATTGATAGAATAATTATTTATATATAGTTATGATTAATATAATGTATGGTGAAAGTTAACACTCACTAGCTAACACTCATAGTATCTATTACATAATATAATTATAGTTTTCCTGCCATGGAATAAATACGCAAAGGATTAAATATATTATTATATAATATATGTTATATTTTTTATTAATTAAAATATCAGTTTTATATTTTTTATAAATACAATTAATATGGTATATTCTCAAAATATTATTTGAACAATTTTATAGTATCAATTTGTAATATACAAATATCTGTTTAGAAAAAAAATAAATAAAATATGTAGTAGTGTTGTTAAACCTCGTTTTGAGGAGATTTTTAAAAACGGCTAACTCAGTTTTTTATCCAGAAAAATATTATGCAAGCCTGAAAATTTTGCTCATAAAAGGAGCAAAGGTGTAGACATATAGTATCGAAATTTCGAGGCTTAGTTAACATCTGTCGAAAATATTGAGTTAGCCGTTTTTAAAAATCGGCTCAAAACGAGCCGTTTAACAACATTAGCTAATATGCTTGCTTATTAAATGATAATGCTCGCCGAAAAATATGATAAAATACCAAATAGATGAATTTTTTGTATATACCAGGTCGAATATTATTTAAAAAAATTCTGAGCCGAGCCTAAAAAAAATTTTTATCCAGGCCGGGCCCTAAAAAATTTTTAAACCCGAGCCGGGCGGGCCTTAAAAATTTTTGAAAAAAAATTCGGGCCGGGCAGGGAATTTTTTAATCCGGGCCGGGTCGTGCAAATGGTACCTCTGCAGGTCTCTGATTTACATAACAACCACATACCAAACTTTATGTGATTATATTTTAGTACATTGCATTGCATAGTTAGCGATATTATTATATACTTTACTTCTTTACTTTCATCATATTCTATCAAGTTAAAATATATTTTATATATCTATTTAATTAAATAGCCTCTTATTTTCATATTAAAAAAATTATTTCAATGGATGCCAAATTAAAAAAAAATTGGTGAAAAGATTAAGAGCAATGAATATGAAGAGAAAATGCCAAAGGCAAATCTGTGGTCTAAAAAACTTTTTCATTTATATATGAAGAAAACAAAAAAAAACTTAATCATGTAAGTTGTAATTTTTGCAAATATATGCTTATAATTCTATAACAACATACATAAAATATATATTATTATTATTATTTTAAGCATAAATCAACTAAAAAGGCATAAATGAGTATTTACAATGGAGAGTAAAAAAACTCAATTAACAATTGATAGCCTTTTTTGGTACTGATCCCAAAAAACTCAGTGTACAAAGGTGCTCACCATGTTTTATGGACGTGATTTGAGATCATTTGATGCAATTCATGGGGAAGGCTTTGTTGATTGTTGCCAATATTTTGCTAAAATTGGCTCAATATATGGAAATATTGATGTTAAAAGCATCATTTCAAATCCCACGACAATTTCTAGAAATTGAATAGACACTGCTGATGATAAATTATTTCCGAGATTAAACGCATATATAAAAAAGGGTCGATGTATTGATAACAAATATAGGTAAATATAGTTAAATTATTTATAATTTTTAGATTCAATTGTATTTTAACTTTTTATAATATTTTTTACAAATTAAATAAAATCCAACTTAATATATATCTTGATTAGATTATGGCCGTCAAATAAACTTTTATTTAAGGTGGCGAGGAATAAATACACATATTCTTTTTTTGGTTATTATAATATTCAAACTCACATTGTAAAATTTTATTTGGGCTCGGGTCGGGTTGGACAAAAAGTTTTTAAATTCGGGCTAGGGTCGGTCTCGGGCTATGAAAAATTACTTTGCAGACCTCTATTCTAAAAATAGGGAGAAATCTAAGAATCCTCTTAAAGTTTCTAGGAACCAGAATCCATTTTGAGGACCAAAACTAGTTTTAATCTAGGTTCTAAACTATGGTCAAATAGTATTTCCATTATGAATTGTAAAAAAATAAAGTATAATAAAATTTTAATTTGTCTTATTTAATTAAAATGTACAAAATTAGCAATTAATATATTTAATTTACAATGTAGGATCAAAATCCTTGGTGGCTTGTTGCATCATTGCTTTAATTTTTTGTTCTTCAGACATATCCAATTTTGATAAATTAGAATTCTATAAATATTAAATTATAAACATAACAAGGTAATTCTCAATCAGTGGTGTATTCAAGATAGTAGAGGGGTGAAAACGCCCAAGGATAAATATCATAGGGTAAAATTATGTTTATATTTCATAAAATTTGATTGCTCTATTATGCATAAAAATGGAGTTTGGATTATATTCCAAATGGACATTATATAAGGATGTACCAATGTTATAAATATGAAATATTTTTTTAATTCCTATAATAAGGTGCTTCTAAAGATGGGATAACAGATCGATATTTAGATGTTACATCTAGTGTTGCGTAATCGGCTAAATTTAGCCGACTAAAAACGGCTTAGCCGAGATTTTAGGTGGAAAAATCGGCTAAGCCTAATTAGGTATAGCCTAAAAATCGGCTAAACCTAATTAGGCTAAGCGTAAAAATCGGCTAAACCTAATTAGGTTAAGCCTTAAAATCGGCTAAGCCTAAAAATTGGCTAAGCTTAAAAATCGGCTAAGCCTAAAAATTGGCTAAGCCTAAAAATTGGCTAAAATAAATTAGTCAAAATTCTGCATCGATGCTTAGCATTAATTATTATTTATTTATTTTAGTAAAATAATTTATTTTATTTATATTTAATGTAAATATTTTATTATTATCAACAAATAAACATGATATGATTTAATATTTTTTATTTACATTATTATATTTTGAAATGAAAATAAATTTATTTATTTGATGTTTTTTTAATAAAAAAAATAATATGCTGCTATATTGTAAAAATGTAATATTCTTTATAATATAATTTATTAGTGATTTTCACAATCTTCTTTGTAAATACATCTTTTATTGAGGAATTATATTGTAAATTTTATTAGATAAATAAACAATCTTTTAGGTGAAATCTTTTATCATTTTTTTAAAATTATCTATTTATTATTAAATGAGGTGGATTTTATGAAACTTTTTTATGTTATTTTATATGATCTTTTTAAGGATAATATTTTAATGTGACAATTGTCATAATCGTTCTTTTATAAGTTTTTTGAATTTTTTTGAAGAAAGTATTAAAATAAGTATTAATAACATGTGTAAATACAAATTTAGTGAAGATGTACCAATGAAAAGTGACAATTGTCATAATCGTTATTTTTAAAGTTTTTCGAATTTTTTTGACGAAAATATGTTAAAATAAGAATTAATAACATGTGTAAATATAAATTTAGTGAAGATGTACCAATGAAAAGTGACAATTGTCATAAAAGTTAATTTTAAAGTTTTTTGAATTTTTTTGACGAAAATTTGTTAAAATAAGTATTAATAACATGTGTAAATATAAATTTAGTGAAGATGCACCATAGAAAAGTGACAATTGTCATAATCGTTATTTTTAAAGTTTTTTGACGATTCAAAAAACTTTAAAAATAGCGATTATGACAATTGTCACTTTTCATTGGTACATCTTCACTAAATTTTTATTTAAACATATTTTCTTCAAAAAAATTCCAAAAACTTATAAAATAACGATTATGATAATTGTCACTTTTCTATGGTACATCTTCACTAAATTTTTACTTAAACATGTTTTTACTACTTATTTTAACATATTTTCTTCAAAAAAATTGAAAAAACTTATAAAATAACGATTATGACAATTGTCACTTTTCTATGGTACATCTTCACTAAATTTTTATTTAAACATGTTTTTAATACTTATTTTAACATATTTTCTTCAAAAAAATTCCAAAAACTTATAAAATAACGATTATGATAATTGTCACTTTTCTATGGTGCATCTTCACTAAATTTTTACTTAAACATGTTTTTACTACTTATTTTAACATGTTTTTACTACTTATTTTAACATATTTTCTTCAAAAAAATTCAAAAAACTTTAAAAATAACGATTATGACAAATGTCACTTTTCATTGGTACATCTTCACTAAATTTATATTTACACATGTTATTAATACTTATTTTAACCTATTTTCTTCAAAAAAATTCAAAAAACTTATAAAATAACGATTATGACAAATGTCACTTTTCATTGGTACATCTTCACTAAATTTATATTTAAACATGTTTTTAATACTTATTTTAACATATTTTCTTCAAAAAAATTCAAAAAACTTTAAAAATAACGATTATGACAATTGTCAATTTTCTATGGTACATTTTCACTAAATTTTTATTTAAACATGTTATTAATACTTATTTTAACATATTTTCGTCAAAATATTCAAAAAACTTTAAAAATAACCATTATGACAATGTCAATTTTCTATGGTACATCTTCAGTAAATTTTATTTAAACATGTTATCAATACTTATTTTAACATATTTTCTTCAAAAAAATTCAAAAAACTTATAAAATAACGATTATGACAATTGTGACTTTTCTATGGTACATCTTCACTAAATTTTTATTTAAACATGTTTTTAATACTTATTTTAACATATTTTCTTCAAAAAAATTCCAAAAACTTATAAAATAACGATTATGATAATTGTCACTTTTCTATGGTACATCTTCACTAAATTTTTACTTAAACATGTTTTTACTACTTATTTTAACATATTTTCTTCAAAAAAATTCAAAAAACTTATACGATTATGACAATTGAGACTTTTCTATGGTACATCTTCACTAACTTTTTATTTAAACATGTTTTTAATACTTATTTTAACATATTTTCTTCAAAAAAATTCCAAAAACTTATAAAATAACGATTATGATAATTGTCACTTTTCTATGGTACATCTTCACTAAATTTTTACTTAAACATGTTTTTACTACTTATTTTAACATGTTTTTACTACTTATTTTAACATGTTTTTACTACTTATTTTAACATATTTTCTTCAAAAAAATTCAAAAAACTTTAAAAATAACGATTATGACAAATGTCACTTTTCATTGGTACATCTTCACTAAATTTATATTTACACATATTATTAATACTTATTTTAACCTATTTTCTTCAAAAAAATTCAAAAAACTTATAAAATAACGATTATGACAAATGTCACTTTTCATTGGTACATCTTCACTAAATTTATATTTACACATGTTATTAATACTTATTTTAACCTATTTTCTTCAAAAAAATTCAAAAAACGTATAAAATAGCGATTATGACAATAGTCACTTTTCTTTGGTACATCTTCACTAAATTTATATTTACACATGTTATTAATAGTTATTTTAACCTATTTTCTTCAAAAAAATTCAAAAAACTTATAAAATAACGATTATGGCAATTGTCACATTAAAATATTATCCTTAAAAAGATCATATAAAATCATCAAAAAAGTTTCATAAAATCCACCTCATTTAATAAAAAATAGATAATTTTAAAAAAATTATAAAAGATTGCACCTAAAAGATTGTTTATTTATCTAAGAAAATTTACAATATAATTCCTCAATAAAAGATGTATTTATAAAGAAGATTGTGAAAATCACTAATAAATTATATTAAAATTACAATATAGCAGCATATTATTTTTTTTATTAAAATAACATCAAATAAATAAATTTATTTTCATTTCAAAATATAATAATATAAATAAAAAATATTAAATCATATCATGTTTATTTGTTGATAATAATAAAATATTTACATTAAATATAAATAAAATAAATTATTTTACTAAAATAAATAAATAATAATTAATATTAAGCATCGATGCAGAATTTTGACTAATTTAATTTTAGCAGATTTATATAGCCTTAGCCGATTTTTAGGCTTACCTAATTAGGCTTAGCCGATTTTTAGGCTTAGCCTTATTAGGCTTAGGCGTAGTTTTTAGCTAATTACGCAACACTACATCCATTCCAAAAAGCCTAACAGCCTTAATATTTTACTTTCTCTAGAAAATTTTTTTATCAACATTTAGCAATGAATCTGAATTTTATATATCCAAGTGATTGAATAAATTTTCATAAATAAATTTATTTCTAAGAATTTTCCTATGAACCTATAAATGGTTAAAATTTTTCTAGTGGATAAAAAAGCTCAATTTTTTCAAATTATAATGATTAATGCTCAAATATGATATTCTAAATAATCAGTCAAAAAAATCCTAAATAAAAATCTAGCCCTGGTGCATATCAGCACCGTTAACCATTAAGAATCATTTTCTCTGCTAGGCAAGAATGGTCATGTAACCAATGTTGTATCTGTATAATTTTGATGATTATATAATTTTAATAATATTATAAATACATAAGATGTTTTATATTTCAATTTAAATATTTGTAGTACCTGTATCATCATTGGAAACTGACCCATCTTTGCAGATGATTATATTTCAATCTAAATATTTGTAGTACCTATATCAATGAAAAACCTTCTTTGTTGATAATTAAACTATTTCTATGCTAGCTAGGAGAATATATATTGGCCTACTCAGAAGCTATAATTTTAAAATTCCCATAAAAGTCCTTTCAAGACTAGTAAAGGCATATGATAACCACACATTAAATTCCCTTTCCTCTGTTGTTAGATTTAGGGTTTCAACCAATAATTTGATAAAGGGAATGCATCATCCCCAACCATTATAAATGGTATAGCTCATTAAAACCTGGAAAAGGCTTGGGAGCAGGCCAATCAAGTGTATGGTTCACCATTCTATTATTTATATTTTTAGAATATGTTAGAATTAATTTAATGTCTCTATATAAAAAGCTATTTATAGATGCTCCATCATCACTCTGCTTTCCAGGTGTTCCCGCATCTATAAAAATAATGTTAATATCTGTTAAGGCTAACAGGTTAATTGAAAAATCTATGTCTATAACCAAAAAATTGTGATGGGAAATCTAATGATATAATATTCTCTCTGATTTCATATAATAAATTTATTCTTTCCCAATCATTTTTTTAGATATAGGCATTTAAATATGTGCAGTATCTTTCCAAATTGCTGTGCACACTGATTTTACAATGTAGGCTATACAGAATTTTGAAATCCTTGAATTATATGCTAATTGTGCAAAGAATACATAAGTAATTAAATACCTTTTACATAAATAATTATTAATGAATTACATTATATTACCTCAAGGTAACAAATAATCTGTCTTAAAAATCAATTTGATTGTTACAATTAGTAATTTTTGGATTTGTATCATCATATATTAACTATAGAATAAAAGGTTGATCCTCTCATTCTTGTATAATTGTCAAATCCCATTTAAATTAATATATTTAGAAAATAGATTTCTTTTAACATATATTAGAGATGTTCTACAACTTTTCCATTTGTTTCTGTTATTTAATAGGGCAAGCATTTAGTTTGTTTAGAATATTTCATATTGAAAAAATGAAAATTAATGCTTCAATTTATACATAACTGCATTTACGTTTTTTTATTTGTGTTTTGAAAGGCTGCATTGAAACGTTCAATTTTTCTTAGTGAAATCAAACATTTTTAGGCTGCATTTAAAGTGGAGATGGATCCGTTTTTTACATCCGTTCCGTCAAAAGTCAATCTCATTAAAAATGATATATATTGATTTTCAATTTTAAAATATTATAAGTAATCAAAAAGTCAAAATGTTTTGACTTCAAAATTTGCTAAATCCATTTTTAAGATGGAAGGTATCGGAACAGACACACTAACATATATATCATTTTTAATGAGATTGATTTTTGATGGAACGGATGTAAAAATGGATCCATCTCCACTTTGAATGCAGCCTTATCCAAATATTTGATACTTCTATAATTTTAATTGTCTAGCATATGAAATTTAAAGATGTTTTTAATCTACATATAAGTTTGTTTTTTTTATTAGTTTTTAATATTTTTGAAATTTTTAGAATTTCTTAAAAGTAATCTATTTTGCATATATTTGTTTCAATTATCCTACTAACCTCTGGGTTGGCAGATTAATATGGTAGGTTGGAAATAAAAATCTTTTGAGTAGGTTATAATTTTAAATTTAATCTATGATATAAATAAATCATGGTTTGATTACATGTTATGTCACAATTTGTTTCATTCAAAATTTTTCTTATAAAATCCTAATTAATCAGTTACCCACAATATCAACTTCAAATATTATTGAATGTGTTTGTAGAAATTAGTAAAATCATAAGAAATAAATCAACATAAGATCTGAATAATTTGTATTTTATTTGACATGATGGTTTAACAAAAAATTAAAGTTTTTTCAAAAAAATTATGATATTTCATAATAAATTAAATTTCCAACATAATTTCTTTTCTGATATTTAAACATAAAGTTTGAGCTTATTTTATTGCTTTCCCTTGTTTGTTTAAGTCCAATATGTTCATAAATTAATATAAAATCATTCTTTGTTTATCCCCTTTTATTGTAAATTTAATGACACATATTTTATTATAAACCCAGTATAAAAATTTAAACAAGATAAGTTGTCTGGTCTAAATTTTTTTCCCAGCCCAAAAAAGACTAATAAGCACTAGGGCTGTATCCTAGTTCAGCTTATATTTTATTCTGAACTCTATTCAGAATAACAGCTTGGAAAACCATTTAGATTTTTAAAATATAAATTTTGGCTTAAATTTTTTTCATCTCAATTAGTAAAATAAAGATTTAAGTAGGATTTGATTAAAAATAATAAAAAAATATAATAAACTTTATTAATTAGCATTTACAATTTGTTTTCATTGAAAAATATCATGGATTTACTTATTAAATATAAAACACATTTGAATATTATTATATAAATGATATTTATCAAGTTCTGTGTTACAAAATGGAATATCAATTATGACGTCTAAATAGGTGTAAGGTATTATAAGTATAACATTTGCAAAAGTTTTCCTACCATAATCAAAAAATGCTATTGAATATATTTTCAACTGCTATTTAAAGAATGTTTAATTTTTTACAGTTTTTTTATTTTTCAGACAGGTCATCATTTAAATGTGTTCCAGGATTTCAAAGCCAAATATTTATGCATGTGCTGATGTAAACAAAATGTGTTAAACTCTAAACAACCCTTTTAAATAATAGGAAAACTTTACAAAATGTCAATTAGATCTCTATCAACTATTAGAAAAGCACTAAAGTTCAACTTCATTGATCGAGTAAAACTCATAAATTTGAAATTATTATGATCATTAATTATCTTGTAACTTTTATATTTGGAAATGTTTATTAAGCTTGAGATATTATTAATTATTTTTAAAGATATTTATTCAACTCACCTAAGCTTAGAATAAGGGTATGAAAAAGTAGCTAAAAAGGCTAAGTTTGCATGCAGTTACTAAAAAATTGTAAAATTAAAATAGCCTTAATAAGGAACAAAAAGTGTTGAAAAGAGTTTTGCAATTTTATCTAAGGCAATTGCTATGGGGGGAGGGGTAAAGTTTTGTTGTAAAAATTTCATTTAGATATATATTTTTAAACATTTAACTTTATAATTTGATGGCAGATATCATTATCTGTTATTTTGGATTTAACATTGACAATTTAGATTTATCTTTAAATGTTAAAAAGCATTGTTATTGTTATAAAAGTTATTATTAATATTTTTAAATTTTAAATAAGTGAAGGAAAGTGCAATTTTTAGGCTTTTCCATAAAAAAATAATTAAGTTAAATAAATTATAAATGTGATTGTAATTAATAATTATAATTACTAATTCCCTTTTTAAAGTAAAATTAATTACCTCTCAACCTGACTATCAGATATTTAAAAAAGGGGAAAAGATAAGTCAGGGTATGAGCCTTAGCTTGATATAACTTTTGTTCTTGTTACAAAAACATTCAGAAAAAAATAGTGTTCACCAAAATAGAGCCAAATTTTTATATATGTTAAATCATAATTCCACCACTTAAAAAAAACATATAAATCAAGATTTTTAACAGTTTTAGGATCCTTATCATTTTTTAATTAGAGATTTTAACATCAAATTATGATCTCTTTAAAATATGACTAAAAGTGTACTTATTTCTCATTTTTAAATTAAAATTTCCTATTCAGAGCAAATACATTGAATTCTTAACAGTTTAAACTTCAAGAGTTCTTAGATACAGTGCTTTAAGGCAATTATTATAAAGCAACTTTGTGTAGGATAGATATATTTTAAAAGCATGAGAAAATTTATTGGTTTAAGAAATTGGTTTTAGTAGAAAAATTGATCACCTCCCTCATGAAAATAGCTTTACAACACCACTGATCGTAATAAATAATAATCAAATTTTTAAAATAATTTTTTTGAATGAATATTAAAATAGTATGAATATTAACAAAGATTACTTGTGTTATGTTGTTATAATCATGTAAAAAATTGTTTGATTTTGAATGTATGCTTAATGCTTCTATAGTAGATGTAAATGGGGCATTCCTGAGTGATCTCTCCCTATAACAAATTTATATCAATGCATATATAAATAATTATTACTGTAGTTTTTTCATTTGAGCAGATATTGGAACACGAGCAACAATAATTGAAGTATTTTTCGGAATTAATACTTTATCGCCTTTGTATTCTAATATTTAATTCATATAAAATAAAGAAATATCGATAATTATATTTAAAAAAATAGATTAAAACCCTCTTTATTTTGAGCATTAATTATTTGAAGGGTAAAGTTTCCAGATTTCGGCATCTTTTTTTGCTGCAATATATTATCCTTCAATTCTTCCAGAGACATATGAAGACCATCAAATTTAATGGTGTCATACTCAATGTTGCTCTTAAATTTATAATATATATATGACATATTTATAGAAAATAATCAATCTTCCATATTAATAAATATTTCACGTGACTTTTAATAGGATAGATGTAGTTGGCAAATTAAAAATGTGATTAGTTAATAAAATTATAGTCTTTTGGATAATAGCTTGATTCAGTGTTAAACTGAGAGAATTTATTTTAATTGGATATACATATAATATATTTAAAATTACAAGTATCTGAAGTTAGTATTAAAAGTTAAAGACATTTGGGTTAAAAATTAAAGGTTTCAGAGATATGGGTTTAAAATGACTTTTATTAAAATTATTATATAATTTTTTATTAATAACTTGTTCAATCTGACAAGTCATATTATAATAAATAGGTGAATATAGATTTAAATAAATGGCAACCCACTGAAACTCAAGGAAATTTTTAATATAATTAATTTATTTTATTTAAAAATCAAATTTTCACATATTTTTCTTTTACAAATTATAATTAAAAATATATATATTAAAAACAAATAAGCAAATATTTAAAATAAATTAAATATATATATATATATATAAAAGAACTGAGAAAAATTTTTTTTTAAAAAGGGTACAAATCACCCTAGAGAAGAGTGGATGCTTAAAAATGGACCGGTAAATCTTTCATTGGGGTAATCAAATATATTTTTTTTATTTTTTTTTTTTAAATATTTAAAAAAAATTTTTTTATAAAAAAATAATAAATATTTGATCGTCTGGATATTAGTGGAAATTATTTTTAATGAAAATTTTCACAATTCTTTAATTTTACAATAAAAATGGAGTAATTCAAAAATTTTAAAAAGGGGTGGGCTAATGATGCCACTAAGTTAGAATAATTTTACAATAAAAACGGAGTATAATAAAAAATTTAAAAAGGCGTGGGCTAATGATGCTACTAAATTAGAACTATTAAATCAATTACTAGTTAATTAATCAATTTATTTGAATAAATTCTATAATTTTACAATAAAATCGGTGTGTGATATGATGCTACTAAGTTAGAACTATTTAATCAAATGCTAGATAATTAAACAATTTTGAATAAACATAATATATAAACAATGCAATGATAATATAGATGTATATAATTTTAAGGAAAAACAAAAATAGTTCTAAAAAAATTTTATATTTATAAATTATTTAATTTATTTAAATTTGACATATTTTTAATATTATGAAAATAGGAATATTCACTTATATATAAATGAGAGGAAGATTTTCTTCCATTTCTGCGGATGCTTGCCCTAAGATCCCTCCATAAACGCTTAATACGTTGAGTATGGGTCGATATATCATTTGGGTCTATAGTTTCTGCTATGAGTTAACGAGTAATGATCATATCCATTTTCATTAAGATTCTTATAACTTGGATAATTATAAATTTTAAGATTTATCAATAATTAATTTACTCCTTCCATTTGTCCGTCATTATAGTTAATCAGTTATACCCAGAAGGGTCTATTTGTATCTCTTTTCAGTTTCAGATATAAAAAATTTTCCATAATTTTTCATATCCCACCTACACCAAATGGCATTCGATTTTAAATCCGCCCTGTATTATTTTTCCTTTTAAAAATATTGGATTCGTCTATTTCGATAACATGCCCAGGGCCCCCTATTTTTTCGAAAGAGATGGCGTGTGTATAGCAGCAAATCTTTCTAAATATTGCATACCTAAAAAATGACAAATTTTATATATATATTTTACCACCAATAGTACTTTGTGCTAATTTTATTAAACGAAGATTGTCAGTTATAGAAGTCCTGAATAGATGAATAAATTTGTTCACAGGAAGATTATTAATTTCAAATATAGTGCTTAATTAATAAAATAAAATCTAAAAAATAATATAATATTAAACCCTTCCATATAGAATAGATGAAATATGTTGAGCATCACTATATAAGATGTTGCATCTTTCTCCATTTTCAGGCTATTAAAACAATACATGTGATTAATAAGAAAATCCTGATCTTATAAAAATGCGATGGTCTTTTGAAAAGGTGTGTGGAACACTTGATTATAAAAAAAAATGTTCTCTTTATTTATATTTCATATGGTTTATATATCTTTTTTATATCTAAAATTAGAATATAAAATCAAAAGGTTAAGTTATAAAACGAAAAACATAAGTAAGGATAAAAGTATAATTGTACAATTTGAATATATCGGAATATAAAAGTGAAGATAATTTAATGCACGCTTGATATAAAATTTAAACATACTATTTATAATATTCAAATTTATTATATAACATCCTTGTATATGAAATTATGATCTCAGTAAAATTTATGTAATTTATAAAAATAAGAAAAAAATATTTAAAAAATATTAAATTTTTAAAACTTTTGAATAATGAAACTTTGAATTATTGCATAAAAAATTTCCACCAATATCCATACAATGGTATATTTATTATTTTTTAATAATAAAAATAACCTAAAATTACGCCAATTGAACGAAAAAAGTATGCGATTCTTAAAACTTTTGAGTAATGAAATTTTGAATTATTATTATACATCGAAAAATTTCCACCCATATACACAAGATCTTATATTAGATATTAAAAAAAAAATTAAAAAAAAATAATATTAAAAATAATAATAATAATATTAAAAATAATAATAATAATATTAAAAATAATAATAATAATATTAAAATTAATAATAATAATATTAAAAATAATAATAATAATATTAAAAATAATAATATTAAAAATTTCCCCGAGTTTCAGTGAGTTACCAAATAAATTAGTAGTTATAACTAGAGATCTGCAAAGTTAGGCCCGGCAGGCCAGGCTCGGGCCTAATTCTATTTAAAATAATCGGGCCGGGCCTAATATATTTAAAATAATTTCGGGCCGGATCGGGTCGGACCTTCGAAATTTTATTAAATATATATAAATTTATCAATTTTATATTGAATTTTTTATGTAAAATAAAAAATTTTGATTTAATTTATTGAAACTAAACGCTATATAACGTATGTCTTTTATTTTAAGTAATTATAAAAATTAATTTCTATATTTAAATAAATTCGGGCCTGGCCGGGCTGGTAAATTTTTCTAAAATAAATTTCGGGTCGGGCCGGGCCGGGCTTGAAAACTTAGGCCCGATGCAGATCACTAGTAGTAACCCATTTTTTTTATTAAAAAACATGAAATAAATAAATCCATTTTCATAATATAATATAAGCATATTTAATTTCTAATATAATATAAACAAATCTATTAAATCATATCAAAATATTTAAATATAAAATAAATTATTTTACTAAAAATAAATAAATATTAATTAATGCTAGGCATATCTTACGGGGTGATAATATAGTTAAGCAAGGTCTTTCATGATCAGTTATATGAGTAACTATATCAAATATTTTTTTAACACCCCTCCATCTCCCCACAGGTAGTACTCATAAACACCATAGAACTAGACTTATTTGATACATAAAATTACTTCTGACCCCCCCCCCCCTTCTAGTAATAGCTTCACCCATCGAGAGGTAGCGCTGGCTTGTAGCCTATTCAATAGGTCTTTTAATTATCTATCGATTAATACCTCTAATTACCATATATTTATATACTTTAATAAGTTCAATAAGAAATAACTTAGAATATATGGGTCTGAACCGCTGTTGTGCTCGAAATTTATGCTCATAGATGATTTAGTCTATTTTTAGAGCCAAGCGTCAGGTTAGTGTATTACACAACCAACCAATTAACAACACTAATATAAGTTTCGAGTTTCATAAAATTTAAGTAAACCTGTTGAGTTCACGACTCAAATTCAAAATTAGAGTCACGAGTTGAATCCATGACTCAAGTTCACGACTTAAGTTCATAACTCGAGTCGCAACTTGAGTTCACCATAACTCGAGTCGTAAAAATGAGTCGACTAATCGACTCAAAACTCGACTCGATGTCTGGAAAACCAGAGTTGTTAAAGTAGCGCGCTATCTTTTTTGGTAGCTATAGCTAATAGCGGCTACTTTTTTTGTAATTATTTATATTTTTTAGCGCGCTAATTTTTTTGCTACTTAGCTACTTTCAAAAAATTAATGAAGGTAAGTATAAACATGAAAATTTAAATATAATATCATAATTAATTATAATTTTTATGATTTATTATTTAATTTTGAAATTGAAATATATTTTCAATTTGTAATTTATATTTTAATTTGTATTATAAACCTAAATCACGTGTTAATGATTTATAATGTCATCGCCTATGGATATCCGTTTTAAGTGATTCAGACAATGATATTAATGAAATGGAAGACAGCAGGGAAGAAAATGTTCTTATGCTATAATAAGAATTTCCCATTCCCTAGATTTAAAAAAAATTTTTAAATAAATATAAAAACCAAAACTGGCTTCAAATTTATTTGTTTAAAATGTAAAAAAAATATTTCCTCAAATCAATCCAGTTATAATCTCAAGAAACACCTAAAGTCTAAATTGCCATTTTTACATTCTAATAGTATTTATTTTATAAGACTGTTCATGACAATAGTTTTAAGGAAATGGAGAAACACCTAAATAATTTTGGTATAGGCGACTCTGCATCCAAAAAGACTAATTAAATTCAAACCAAATTAATTAATAATACAAATGCCAATATTTCCCAGAAATTGGCCGATAGTTATTGTTGATTTTATATGTTCACGTTCAGCCAATGTCCTTGGTTGATAATTCATTATTTACCATGAGATTAAAACTCTATCCCCTGGTAAAACAATTTTATGCCGCCAGTAGTGTTGTTAAACGGCTCGATTTGAGCCGATTTTTAAAAACGGCTAACTCAATATTTTATCCAAAATAATATTACGCAAGTCTGAAGATTTTGCTCATAGATGGCACAAAGGTCTAGACATCAATTAGCGAAATTTCGAGGTTTAGGTAATATTTTTCTAGCTAAAATATGGATTTAGCCGTTTTAAAAATCGGCTCAAAATGAGCCGTTTAACAACACTAGCCGCCAGACACTAACGAATAAAATAGCAGATAACTTTAAAGTGATGAAAGATGCTCTAATAGTAGAGTTATCAGAGATATCATATATATGTACCACGGCAGATAGTTGGACACATAACACAAGGTAAAAACTTATAAAATGCAACAAATTACCATAAATATTTATTTTTACTACATAAATTTTTTTTTAATCAAAACTAACTATATTTTAATATTTATAAATGTTGATTTTTATATATTTACTATACAATAACATTATAAGCAAAAAAATCTTTTTATAAAAAGTAACTAAAGCTACTTTTTTTGACAAATAGCGATAGCGGTAGCGTGCTAATTTTTTTGATAAATAGCGATAGCGGTAGTGCGCTACTTTTAAAAGTAGCGATTAACAACTCTTCGACTATTTAACAACACTATTTTTAATTCAAAAAGGAACATTACCCTATTCTAGTTAGTTCTTAAAAGAAAATATCTAATAGAAATAGAGGAATATCATTTTATTAATTCTGACTAGTGTTTAAATAAAAATGTAAAAAACAAATTTAATTTTTATAACCAGAGCATGCATTAAAAATGGTTATTATGCACATTGACAAACAAACCAATATAATATTGAATACTGCACACTTTATTGCGAAAACAAATTGTCCATTTGTCGATTTTGAATCATTAATAGATTATCAAGATCCCAACAGTTTTGATGTGAGATATATTTTACATTCTATATATTCTGCCGTGTTAATAACTTATTGTCACGGAAATGTGAATAAAAATTGTAAATTATATTACAATTTCCAATCGAAAATTACTATATAATTGTATCTACTACGTTGTCAAATAAACCGACCTTAAAACAACGAATACGCCCCCCCCCACCCTTGTTATTATCAAATTTACATCACGCCCATTTATCTAAAATTTGTTCAACCTGCCCGCCCAAAGTTTAAATATTATTTTGATGGGTTTCACTTCTTTATTTATTTATTTTAATGTATATTTACTTAAACTTATGAAATATGCAATATTATGAAATAAAAAAAATTTGATTTTTAATAAATAAAAGTCTGTGTTGCTCATTTTACCAAGAAAAGATTTAAAATTCGCCAGCCCAACTAATATATCTACAAATCAATATATTTAAACTTTCTTTTACCTTCATCCAAAAGAAGAAGAGGTACTCCTGAAACTTTATAAATCGCATTAAGAATTAAATAAAAACTTCTTTTTTTTAAAGAAAAAAATCAAAAATGAATCCTTCTTGATTTGTGTAAAGATATTAGGCGAATATTCACGTGAAGAATTTAACCAATTATAATTCTACCCAAAAATAAAATATTACGTGACATTAATAAATAACAAACATCATTGTTAAATAAAAAATCTTCTGTCACAACATAATTTTACCAATTATAACAAACACATTCGAATCCGTATCACAGTTTGCGATAGTGGATTATACCAACTTGAGTCATTCACAAAAAAGCGTCCTCATTGAGGGAAAAATATACGACCCATACAAATAGAAAACGTATTAGACAGCAATCTAAAGAATATTGTAACATATTACCTTTGATTGCTGAGACAAAATAGTTCGTCAACCTTTAATTCTTTTAACGCTTCTTCCTTTCACCGGAAGGAATCATATAGTTCCTTTCAAAAGAACTTCAGCAATAAAATGCCTATGAATAAATAAATGAAAGATTTTTTTATATATTCAAAAAACCTCAAAATATATAAACTTTCATAACTTAATAAAGTTATGGAAACATGTCCAAAATTTTCCTCTTAAAAAAATAAAGTTTTGTGAATTTTGAAATTTATAATTCCTACCAAATTATTTTCATACTTCCCTTTCAATTTACTTCGTATTTCTTATTATCATTTGAAATTATTATTGCTTGCTTCTTTTTTCGTAAAAATTTCTCAACTTGATAAATTTTCTAAAGTTCATAGCTTTAAAAGATTAATAAAATTTCGTAAATGATTGAGCGCTATTTTATTTTCACATTAAAAATAGTTTATTTCTCTTTTTTCGTTAAATTAACTATTCACAGCCTAAAAAAATTAAGTTTTTTTCAAACATAATTGCGAATCCCAGCCTAATCTTTGAAGAAACTTTCATTGTTATTGAGGAGAGGTTTGTATTCTAAATCAAATCTTGGTTAACTAAATACCTACTGTCAAGCCCAAGATTGTAAAGACTAGTGATGACACTACACTTGATGATGACATAAATTGTTATTGGAATTTGGATGACGAGGCAGAGTAATTATTAAATAACTAAATTGATAGAAAGTGAAAAGGACTTTTTTATATAAAGAATGTTTAACATCCGAGAGACCTTTTAAATGAATTAAATCAAAAGTCCAATTATTTATAAATTAAAAAAGAAAGAAATGAGAATAAATTTAAAGTACAAAAGTTTTTCTTAATAAATAAAGGGCCTGTTGTAAATAAAAATTTCAGCATATCCCGGATTATAAAAACATTATTTTTCGGTCAGAGGTTTATATCTTCAGGCCCGGAACGTATTATTTTCAAAAAAAAAATCGGCCCTGCTCTGTCTATAAAAAATATTTTATTTTTAAAAAAACTTCCCCTCGGGTTTTGAAAAATAAGTTTTTTAGTTAATATAAAATCATTTAATTTTAATAACTTTTGAAATTATTTCTATTCTAATTTGATTATTTTTCATTTTTCAAAAGAAAAAACATAATTTGTGTTCTTTTTGGCGAAATACATGTTTGATTGACTAAAAAATTATAATAATTAATCTCTTAAATTAATGACTTTATCGAGTACAGTAAAGTTTATGACAAATTAAAATGATGTGGTAGGTTATATTGTAAGTTATTTTTAAATAATTTATAAAATTCAATATAACCTACATATGGTAATTGATTAAATAGTGACTATTTCTTTCTTTTAATTTACGTAATTTTTGACTAAAAATAAAAATCAGCCTCCTAAACTATTTTATTTACCTAGTGTAGTAGAGTATACAAGGACAAATTAAAGTATTTTACTTTTCTATTACAAACTAGTAAACTATTTTCTAAAGAGATATATGATAAAAAAATGAATGTGATATATCATTCTGATATAATCTTAAAATATATACATTTTTTAAAAATATATATGATAAATGTCGAGTTTGTTTTATTAATTTTTGACCTGGTCCGGGTTTCTAAAAGAAGAAAAAATTTTGGTCTTGCCTATGTTGTTGAAATTTTTTTTACACCAGTTGGGGATTTTTTTTAAAAAAGCCCGGCCCGTATATCCGTGCCAGACTTTGATCCGATACTGTAGGTTTCTGATATTTATTAAAAGATAAACTTATAAGATTCATGAATAAATTGAAATTATCGCATAAATGCGAAATTCCAGATAACTGCAAAATAAAATCTAATTTTTTATTCCAACGCTTGGCATTTGAACGATTTCAAACTGCATAATCATTATTTATAAATACATAAATTCTACAATTAAATTTGAAATTATTATTGATATTTAATTTATATATTGAATTATCATTTATTTTGTATTACAAATCCAATCTATATTCTGTTCTGATCGAAAATGATTAAAAATATGTTTGAAAAAGTAATATAGTGATGAAAACGATATTATACCAGAAGAATATTATCTCGTAGTTGTAATAGATAATATTAAAAGTGTTTCCTTTCATTCCAAATTATATTATATACTAAATAAACAAATTAAGAGGTAAATCATATATATTTAAGAAAATAATATTTCTCATAAATCTAGCAATCATAATCTTAAATTAAAACAATTGACTTTTTTAATTTTTAAACAAATTTTTATTTTTAATAAATAGTATTTTGTACAATTTTATTTATATAGTAGATTAAAAGTAGCGAAAGTTACCTATTGAAATTAGTAGCTCTTGACGAGTTACTTTTAAAAGTAGCTTATAACAACACTGGAATCAATAATTATTCAAATGAAACATTTTTAATTTTAAGTTTACAAAATGAAAAAAAATATAATAAGACATTTTAATGTAATTTTTTTTTTAAATTTCCACGATTTAAAATAATAAATAAATATAACCACAAACAGAAAATAATACCAAGTTATATGAGATGATGATGAGATAATATTTAAATAAATTAAATTAAGGGATAAAAGAGAAAAAAATGTAATGTAACTTTTATGATAATTAAAAAAATATATTAGAGATATTAAAGGAAAAATACTAAAATAAAAGAATTGATAAATATAAAAAGAGTAGATAAAAAAATATTTCGATATTGATAATCGGGACAAAAATCGCGAAATATAATTTTTTTTAAAATTTGGCGACTTTTAAATATAATTCTATAAATAATAACATTTTAAAAAAATCTTAAATCTTAAAAGAAAAATAAGAATTGTAAGATTACTAATTTTAAAAATAATAATTTAACAAACGTGAACGAAAGATCCTATTTACTCATAATTTTATCGTTACAAGGAGAGAAGGGAAAAATAATAGATAGATTTATTAAGAAAATATGGAAAACTGAATTTTAGTTCTTCGTTGAATATAATTAATAATTTAATAAAAGTTTAAACTATGAAAGATTATTTAATATTCGGATTAAATAAATAAATTTTTTTAGTTTTTACATTAAAAAAAACATTTATAGCATTTAAAACCTAATTATAATGGACTTTTATCAGAGCTTGATAAAAAAAAATACCAATTCAAAACTCCTCAAAATTTACAACTTGACTGTCACTAGTAAAAAATAGACAATAGGTTAAAATGTTAAATATATCAAAAGTTAAAAAATAATAACAAAATAGTAAATAAATAAATAATTCAATTTAGTATTTTTTTGAATGGGAAGGGAGGCTAATAATACTTTTTTAAAAAAAAATTAATTACGTGATTTTTTTATATAAAAATAAAACGATTCTCATAGGAATTGAAGAAACCAAAATTTTTTAAGAACCCTCATGTGTCATAAATTCTAGGGAATTCGAGTAATTTTAAATATGGTTTATAAAAAGTCCATATTGATCACTTTCTTTTTAAAAATATAGCATTTGTTAGTTCAAAAATGCTATGATATATTGTTATTTAACTTAGAGTTTTAATGAGAGTTCGAATATTTTAAATGTATTGTACATATAAATATAATTTAAAAAATTAGTTGAGATTTTTTTGTAAGATTAAAATAAGATTCGGATTATCCGCAATCTGATGATTTTCGTAACATATCGAGACCAATTTTGATTTTTCCCCACCTAAAATTTAATTTTCAAAAGATATAATTTTTGAAGAATATTAAATTTCTAATAATAGTTGGCAAATATCGGCTATCTTATGCAATCTATATGTTTATTTAAATTTGAATCTCAACTGGAATAATTAAAACACATAACTTAAATTCTTTCATCCTGTCATTTTTATTCCTATACTTACTTCCAACAAGCAAGAAGATATAAAATATAAGTAAATTCTTTTAACTAGAAAAAAAGAAAAGAAAACTATCTTACCCGATTAAAACATTTTACTGTATTTTTTTTCACTTCTCTCTTTAGATAATTATCAAAAATTTTGATGGCCACCAGCCGATTCTAGCAACTGTTGAATCATAGCCCTCTTGAGAGGATTAGTTTCGGGGAAAAGACTGGTTGCCATGAGAGCCGCGTCATCTAAAGGTTCGGTATTATCCAACATTCCCTCGATATGTTGAGCTCGTGCGTCTTCCACGTTGTTTTCTAGCTCCCTTTTATGTTTTTTATTATCACAAATAATTAGAAAAAGAGTTTTGTAGTTAAAAAAATAAAACTTTACAGAAAAAGAGAAACATAAAAATATATAGCAAAACCTTTCTGTCCTGTTTCCAAGGTTATTGAATATCGAATCAGTTTCATAATGATTTAATTGGTTGGAGATATTGGTGAGGTCTTGGGAAGAGATTTTGGATTTAATTTGAGAATCGTCACATGCGACGGGATTTTGAGTGATAGTGGGATAATATGGATCTTGAAGTGTTCATATTATAATTGATAAGAATATTAGAGGTCTGCAACAGGCGGGTTTTTAGCCCACCCATCTGAGTTTGAGGATGGGCTAAATTTTTTGAAGAATAGGCCGGTTAATGAATTTAAACTATAGGCGGGCGGGTGAGTTAAAAAATTTTTAACTTTTATTTATTATTTAAAATCATTTAAGTAAACATTAAAAAAATACTCCATAAAATTTTTAATACTATAGTTTAGGCAACTGAGGATTTTGTCGTCGAAAGAAATTAATGAAGTAAAAAAATATATCGAGAGCAAGTTTGGATGAAAATCTTATTTCACACATTTCCCAAAAAACAAAGAGAATTTAATGAAGGGTATTAAATTATAAATGCAAATGTTTGAAATAAACAGTATCCATGTCAAAATTAAACCATAATAGATGGGAGGTTGAGGTTGTTACAGAGGAGAACACCGTACCTAATGACATAACAAAATATATAAATCTTAAGGTAACATATTAACTTGTATAATTTAGCAAGATTTTGATTTAAAAAAATTTTTTTTATAATTAATGGATTCACTATTTAATTAAAGATCTCGCTTAAGGAAGATGATATACTTAAAATGGATATCCTGCTGTGGTGGAGCGACAAGAAAAAGATTTACCAAAGCTATCAAAATTAGCTAGAAAAATATGGGAAATTCCAGCAACTGGTGCTTCTGCTGAACGAGGATTTAAAACTGAAAGGTTTTTAGAACAAAGAAGAACGTGTCGTGTTTGAATTTAGAAAATGTGAATTCATTATAATTACAAATAATATCAATAAATATTAATTTTATATTTTTTTCATAAATATTTTATTTAATCAAAAAATTATTTATACGTAATTTATATTGAATATTTATAAAAAAATTTGTAAGGGTGTATAGCGCTGAAACTGAATTATTTTTTAATAAATGCTTAATAAATTGAAAGAATGGGCATATCTAAATTTTTTATGTGGATAGAGGGGGGCGTGAGTTAAAATTTTTTATAAATAATTGGCAGGCAGGTTATGTTTTTTGGAATAATAGGCTGGCTGGTATATTTTTCTTAAAACTATAAGCGGATTGGACGGGCGGGTTTAATTTTTTGAAACGTTGGGCGGACGGACCCCGCCCATTACAGACCTTTAAAGAATAGAATATTCTTGTGAATTTTAAAAATAGAATATCATAAACATTAATGTATATTTTTTTGTGTAAAAAAACCCTCATAAAAATTATATGCAAAAATTTAAAAAAAGAATATATCGTGGTAATTTTTCCATTTTCTAGGATTAAATTTTTAATTAAATAAATAATAATTAGCAAATAAATATTTTGCCTGAGGAGTACTTAATTAAAATTATTTTGATACGCTTGACGAAGGGTAGCGTTTTTAGAATTTGGAAAGTAATCTCATTTTGTTAAAAAGTCCTAGTTTCAGCTGAAAAACTAATATTTTATTATATTATGATGGATGGATGATAACATTTGAAATAAGATGGTATAAAAACAATAAGAAAATTCTTATATTTTAACTAATAAATAATGTATTAAACATATAAAGAGTTTTCAAAAACCAATACATGAAATCATAAAACTGTGAAGCGACGTATAGAATTCTTTATTCTTTGCTACAATATTTTTAAAAATTATGCAAGAGTTGGGATTTATATTTTTGCTCTTTTTCAATCTCATTTTGGCTAATACAATTTTTTTAAAACCCGAGACAGACTGAACTAAAAAATTCAATTACTGGATGCCAAGGTTGAAAATGTTTAAATTCGGACTGGGCCTAAAAATTCGATGTCTACAGAGCTCTGGTATCTAATATATAATATTATACCTATGGCATTATTGTGAATTGGCAAAGAAGCAATCGCTTTATCTGTATTATCTTCGCCAGGCTTTAAATTGACATAGTTGGTGAGTGGATTGGACTTGTTTTGGTTCAAACGTGGCTTGCTATATTATATATTATTTTTATAAAAATTCGTTATTAAAACATATTGTATCTATTCCATTATTTTTTAATAAAAATCGGGAATCCTTCCTTTTTTTTTCTTCTAATATTGTCTCTTAAATTAGATAGAATACTCGTTTAAAAATTCACCCATTAAACATTTACGAAAATATAAAAAATGAAAGGATCTAATAATGTTGAGAGCAGAGCTAAGGATAAAACTAGAAGTAAATTTCTGACCAGTCCAAATGACAAGTATTTAAATAAAGAGGAATGAAAATTAAAAGATTCATGAATATTACGAATAAATTTTCTAACTTCAATCTTGGTCGCCCCCTTTTCTTTGCCATCTTGAAACCATCGCGTCCTTCAGCGCTATAAGAAGACTCGTTAATGATATAGTTATTGCTATCGCTCTCCTCGTTGCGTCTACCATCGGAATTACCAATGAACCCATTATTCCTCGCACTATCGGGGTAATTACCAGGCGAATCCGGATTGAAAAGGTGGGACTTGGAAGAAAAATTCTTGAAACTTCCTGAACCCGTCCCATTACCGTTTGAAGACGCGGAGTGAACTGCAGCCATTGTTTTCTTGTCCATGAAAGCCTGTTCTATTAATGTTTCAGGTTCCGGGGCTTTACTTATGTCGAGTTTCCAGTAAGAACCCTTGCCAGTCTCATCTTGGGATCGAGGAACTTTCGTAAAGTAACGGTTGAGGGACAGATTGTGCCGAACGGAATTCTAGTCATGTTTTTTAAATATAAAATTATGTTTTTGAAAACGCAGCGTTATCCGATTTATTAATTAAGCTGATTTGGTGTGTATGTGTGCATGTGCGTATATTGGAAGGAAATAAACTTTCGGGATATAACATATTCTACTTTTCCTGAATATTAAATATAGTATGTATACAGGTTAATACAGTATTAATTTCCGTGATTATTTCTTACAGTTGTCAAACTCAAGTAGACTCCAAAAAAAAAATAATCAAAATTCAGCCTAAAAAATTCTTTGAACCTCGAGTTTTAGTCGAAAATCAGTATAACCTCGAGATTTAACAACCAATTTCACATGACTATTTTGGCAGTCTAAATTTATTATAATCTTTATAATATTTATTTTTCTCAAAAAATCGATAAAAGGGAAAAAAAATCTAGGACCTATTTTTTTCTTCTTAAAAAAAATTTGTTTTTTAAAAAAGATGAATTAGAAAAAATATATATCACAACCACAAAATATTATTATTACTACACTATACTTTAACTTTTTTTGTTTTATTTATTCTCCACATTAGATCAATAAACTTAACTTAAACTTTTCCTTCTCTGCACTTTTTTTCTTTTTAAAAATATATTTTATTGGTCATTGAATCACTAATCGGTGAAATATATTTCCATTTTTTCCCCCGGAGAGAGCGTATAAAAAAACGCTTATATTATATTTTGCCTGCGCATAGATTTAAGCTTAAAACATTACCTTGTTTATTTTGGCAAATAGAATAACGGTATTTTTTATCTATATCCTGAAATATTGTTTAGGTAAACAATTTTTAACCACAAATAGTAGCAAATTATACGATGATGAAAGTTATAACTTGAGGCTAAAAAAAAATTCTAGACAGAAAACTGGTATATCCTAAATCTTGTTGGCAAAAAATATTCCAAATTTTTCTAAACGCATTAGGGAAGCCGAGTAAGAATTGCGTGCTTGCTGCCAACTCATAAAACAAAAAATATGCATAGTGTAAAAGTTCGTAGACAAGGTAATTATGGAGAGTCAATTTCCGGAAAATCAATCAATGGTCGTAAAGAAAAAGTGCAAATTTACGACTCAGAGTAATTTTTATTATTGTTGTTTATTATTTCAATCATTTTTCTAGGTGATTAAAATGATTCCATTTTACATTAATATTTTATCTGTCTTATATTTATTTTGCGGAATACAATAAGAAATAGTTATGTTAATATATTTTGATTATTTATGCTATATCATATTTCCAATTCAGTGGAAAGTGACAGATATTTAAATATATGACTTGTTTTCCTCTTTACTTATTTCAAGAAGAATAAACCTATCAAAAGTTGATTGATAAAAATAATTAATAAATTTTAATTTAAAATTTTTTTCTCGATAATTATTATAATAAACCGAGTTCTTGATTTTTGAATGGATTGGCCTTGATTATTTATTTTTATAAATACCGGTTCTATATATCGAAAATGGTATTATTTAGTATTAATTATCGTATGAGATAGAGGTCGATATTTACCATTTTTTTAAAATAACGGCTCAAGCCCATAAATTTTTAAAACTATAGGATATTTTTATATTTTATACATAATTTTTTATAATGATGAATGAATAAAAAGGAACCAATCAAATTATTTTTAAAAAAAAGAAGTAGTTTAAAATGATGACATTTTTTTGTTATATAATTTTTTTGCAACAAGAAAGGGATTTTATTTAACAAGTCACATTCAGCACGAAAAAACGAATCAAATCAAATAATTCATTATTCGTATTCATACGATTAATAAAATCAATATTCGATTCGATTCAAAAAATTTTCTAAAGCTTATAAAAAATAGATTATATTTTCAAAAAAACATTATAAACAGAGGTGGATGTTTTAAAATAGCACTTTTAAATTCTATTAAAACTAATTGTCATTAACATATCAAAATCTACAGAAACAAACGAAATAAAACCCAGTTATATTTCATAACGTTATCCAAATAATTAGTCAACACCCGATTTTTAGAATTAAAATTGCTTATAAAAAAATAAAAAATTATTTTCTATTCGTTATTTCTTGGATCTAATATTCTAAAATTTTATCAAAATTTTTTTAAAATACATAATGATCTCATTTTATAAACATCAAAATATAATATAGAAAATATAAAATTATACTAGATCCGAATATGGCAACAACCAGTTTTTCAATTATAAAGTCTTTCTAATGGTTTCTTCCTTCAAAGACATTCTATTCTTCATTATCATATTTGTCCCTGCTGAGAATAAGCGCTCACATGAAGCCGAAGATCCCTGAATAGACAATATATCAGTTGCCATTTTCGACAACACGGGAAAATGATCCCCATGCAGTCTACACCATTCTAATGGGCTTTAGAAGCGATTCTTAATTCATTAAGATATGTTTCAACCTCACATATTGATGTATGATATTTTGTTTGATATTTTATCCATGTTTGACTGGACTATTGTTTTATCAGATGAGTATTAATATTATATTTAACTTTGTATATATATTTCCTAAAATTTTTCTAATAAAGTTGTTGTCTTTATGTTATATGAGGTAGGTAATTGTTTAAAGAATTCCATTATAAAAATTTTCGAATAATTCAAATCGAATGATAAAAAAATTAATATTCGACGAATACTTTTTCTCATTATTCATATTATTGTTCTATTCGTAAAGCGAAGCGAATCGAATAACAAATAATTCGTTTTAGGCCTACATTCAGCCATGTACATTGCCCATATTTTAAATGGCATGATTAAATTTTGGAGGATAAAAAAATTACACTTAATCATTTGTGTAAATGCATCAAATATTGTCAGAAACGGAAAATTTAATATTTATTATTTTTTTGCATTATAAAGTATTTGATTTTTATATATGACATTTAAAGAAAGATGATAAATAAAAAATAAATCTAAATATATCTGATCGGTTTTGTATGTATCGGTAAATATCGGATCGGCTCAGCCCTAGTAATATTAAATAATTGCTATCGGTAGGTATGCCCCTAATTATTATGGTATATGCTAGTTATTTTTATATATTTAATTTTAATTTTGGCAGAAGGTATTTTTATAACCATTTTATAATATTCATATTCTACTACTAAAAAAAAACTTTCGTTTACTATGTACCCCTTCTTATATTATGTAACGAATGGTTTTTGGTTTGATAAAATTTCAAAATTTTTGGCAAAAATTTAAAGGAAAATAAATATTTACATTATTTAAAAGTAAACATAACTCCATCAACAAGTATGTCTGTATTAAACGGATGTAATTTATTAATTATAGAAGGAAGAAAAAGTGGTTAATCTTAGGTATTGATAATTTTAATTATTGCGATATACTGAATTTTAAGTTTTAGGGGGTATTTTAAAAAATAATTATGACCTATAATATAAGTTAAGTTATAAGTTTTGGTTTTATAGAAATGCCATATTTAATAAAAATCGATATATTATAAGGAAATCTGTAATATGTTACTGTTGCTTGTAGTATCATTGCAAGTGGGTAATTGCTCTATTTTTAAAAGTTTTCGCCTATTCTTAGGCGTCTAATAAATAGATAACCCTAGTTTTAAAAAAAATGATCACTTCAGCATTGATTTAAAAATATATAACTCAACCTTAGAAACCGGAATAAATTAACTCAGACCTCAATGCTCAACGGGGTTATTTTCGAAAAACCAATATAGATTGAGCAGGATAACATTTTATCACCATTTACCCATTTATAATTACCATATTGCGTAACTTTAAATTTAATTATATTTTTTAAGAGTTAGATCAAACCAAAAATTAAGACTGTGCAGCACAAATTTTTCACCGATCCGATATTTATATTGATTTTTATTTACCATGTTTTTTTAAACAATTGTCATAAAAATGTCCATATTTTCTATATAAAAACAACTAACCACTCAATTAAGTGTATTTTGTTTTTTTATTCTTTAAAAGTTAATATAATCTCGTTTTAAATATTTGCAATGATTATGGGTGAATGTGTAGTGTTGTTAAACTATTATTACCTAAGCCTTAAGATTTCGCCAATAAAAGTCCAAATATTTCTGCTATATATAGTCAAAGTTAATAAGCTTGAGTAATTAACTTTTGACCAAAATCTTGAGTTAGTCGTTTTTAAAAATTGATTAATAGAGCCGTTTAACAACACAAGCCGAATGTGACTCGTTAGATATTTTAAAATCCTTTTCTTGTTGCAGATAATATAAGAAAAAATAGTGTAAAATTTTTAGCTATTTTTTAAACTTTACAACAATTATATTGTATTTTAGTTCCTCTCATTAATTTATTATTATGAAGTTATTTATAAAATAAAAAAAGTTATACACTAATAAAATAACCAAAAACAATAAAAAATATCAGATGGGTTTTTTAAAAATATCGACCCGATCCAATAATTTTTGAAAACGATAAATATCGGCGCAGATCCAATCCAATATATAATTGGCACAGCCCTACAAAAACTGATATTATTTAATAAAAGGTCATGGATTTTTAAATTTAAAGGGTCACTTAAAATTAAAGTAAAGCTAATATAGAGGGCTCAGGTCAGACTACTGCTGTTTTTTTTCTCGAAGGTTTTTTATAATATACATTCTCCCTCAAAAAAAGAGGAAAGTTTCAATTTTAATTCAATCATATTCGGAGCATAGTAATTACCTGCCAGCCTTTGTCGGCCGTGTTATCGAAATATGGATATTTATCGGAAAGAGCATCATAAATGCCGCTTAGCGTTAGAAAGCCCTCCGGGGCTCCCGAGATGACTTGCACTATAAGTTGAGCGTAAGAAAAGGGAGGTTTTTTGTAGGAATTTTTAGGTTTGCTTCCATTATTTTTTATTAAAGAGTTAGGGACGATTTTCGAGTTGGGTGAAATTGTTGTATTGCACCTTTGTTTTAGGATATAAAATAAATTAAAATGTAAGATTTTTTTTAAATAAAAAAAAAGCTTCTTCGACTCTTTCCAAACTCTATCGAGTCGTTTTTTTTATTTTTTTCGAACCGAGATTTTCGCTTTGAAAGTACAAGTATATAAAAAATAAAACGTAAACGGGGTTTTTATAAAACTTACTTAAATAAATTTACGTCTAAAGTTTTTTTAAAAAAAATCCTATAGAAATTTTTTTTAAAGAGGTTGATGACTTACATATTATCCGAATAATTCCTTTCGAATTTGTCGCGGTCATCTCTGCCCCACACATCCTTAACGCCCTCTTCTTGGTCGTAGCTATTAGGGTAACCGTCCAACTTTCTTTTTACCCTCTTGACAACTTTGGCATGTATCTCAGGTGTTTTGTTCAGGTTTTTTTGTAACTCAATCTCTCTGTCAAGGCTAGTTTTCGTAACGAATGCCTCATTTTGAGGGCACAATGCATCTAGAAAGTAAAATTAAATTTAAAATAATAAAAAATAGATATATTTTCATATATATATAAGCAATTTCATTAGAAAGAAGCATATTTAACTATCTAATGGCATTATGAAATATAAAAAAACCCTGGTAATTTGGAGAAAAAAAAACTCTTTGAGTACAATCAGTTGTATTAAAAATGGGAGCTGTTATCATTAATCAGGGTAATATAAATTTTATCGACAAAATTGGATACGCTCTAAAGTTTACATAGGGATATTTTTATCATGAATGCAAATCAAAATCTATCAAATATGAACATTTTAAAAAGATATTAGTGTTCGAATAATATATTGGGGGGTGGGGGTATAAGCTCAAAAAAATTAACATATAGAAAGAATATATCAACTTTAGTTTTTAAAATATAAAGAGAAAAAATTATCACTTAAAGAATCAGAATTATATTGGTTGAGATTTGAATTAGAGATAATGCTATTATTAGTTTGGATGATTGAGTTAGTGAGATTTAAGAGGTTTTTGTCTTGGAGCGAGGAGATGTAAGCTCTAATTTCTAGTTCGATCTCCCTGGCATCTCGGTAAGCCAGGCATTTAAATTTTATGGAAATGTCGGTGTTGGGAAAATGTAAGTTGCATCTGTTAAAAAATTAGAAAAATTTATAACATTAAGATTGTGAATGAAGGATTATATAAGATAAGAATTCATTTTCAAAAAAACTAAAAGCGGGAAAAAATTTATAAGCAAAAGTCTTAATTTATATAAAATTTGAATGCTAAAAAATAAATAAATAATTTTAAAAAATTAATTTGTAATTATAAAATATCCTCATAAGTGGCATGTTAGTAAATTTTAAAAAAAGAGGACATATTTCTTACTTTTTGCCGCCATTTTTTATATTAATTATTTGACCTCTCTCTCTCCCTCCCCATTTACCAGAACGAATATTGCGAAAAATTCAGTCAAGGAATTAATATTGTAAATATAAAATTATCATATTGCAAACAAAGATTTTTTTTGTATATATAGCACATAAAACATAATAATAATTATATAAAAAAAATACCAAACGTTATTTTTAATATAGATTATCCTAACAGGTTATACATGATAGATTCCGGTATGGTATTTTTAAATAAATTTTTATGGCATCGATTTAATATGGGTCTCATAACAAAGTTTCTTAAAAGCACAATTTATTATTGAAAATTTTTTTTAATATAAAAAGCAAAGGCCAACAAAATTACATTAAAAAATTTTTCTGCTAGATTTTTAATTGATTATTTCATCATACGCCATCTCGCAGAAAAGAATTCATATAAAAAATAAATTTTAAATAAGAAATCAAAAAAAATTAATTGAATATAATTTGTGTTTTCCGTGAAAATTTTTTTTAGTTTTTAAATAGTAAATTGTCGTGATTTCAGTTAGTGGCATCTTAACGATGTAAAGATATCGACTAGATGAATTTGAAATTTTTTTTATCACTTCTGACACGATCAATCATTTATGACCAATCATGATTAACAATAGGTGGCGGAACAATGGCCGTTATCTTATGTCAACTTACATTCGAGGTTTGCAAAGAGCGAGACAAAAAAATTATAAACAATGGGCCGGTAGGGCAAAAAATATTCTATAAATAACTGATGGGCGGGTTATTTAAAATATTTTATGGGAGTGATGGACAATTTAAAAATGTAATAAAATACCAATAAAACAAATAAAGAGAAATAATTCAACTACAAATTATTTTTAAACAAGGCCGGAAGGATATTTTTTTATATAACCATATAAAAGTTTTGGGTTAAAACCCGTCCCTTTCTGGCCCTTTTTATAACTAGTAATGATGAATAAGAACGTTATTGATTTTTTTATGTGTCTTATTAAAATATAAATAACGTCGTAATTTTATCATTATAGGCAAAAATTTGATATTTTTATATAGCGTCTACTCCGATAGTCATGGTTCAAATCCAGCAAGGTCCTTAAAAGCCAATTAGGTAGTTCAGTGATATATAGCAGATCGAACACGACTACACTATTCTTTAATGTATTTTTAAGTCATATATTATTACCCTAACTCATCTTAATTTTTTGATAAGTAAAAATTACACCAAAACGACTGATTTTAAAAGGGGTATCTGCTCCGACCTTTACGTCTTCGCTGTCATTGCTCCGTAAAATATTATAAAATGTTTTTCTATACATAAATAGCCACTAGAGGTTCATAGTATTTTTTAGTGACTTTGGCCTTCACTAAGTCAATATCACAAAATTTGAAAAAAGATTCCACGCCGGTGCTGTATAATTCATAAACATCTTCAATAGAGTCCTAAACATATAGAACCGAGTCCGGTTCTTTCGATGAAAAATCTCGTGCCAGACTCAAAAAACAAAGACTGGAGAGGATGACTACTTAAAAATATGAAGATAGTAAAACTTTTAGAGAGCTCGGTGATTTTTATTATTTTTTTATGATTAATTTTTGTGATAATTTTGCTTTTATTAGATCTTTACGACGCCAATCTCTAATATGAATCGTAATTAAATTCGTTCAAAAGATTTATTTTTAATATTAAATAGATAACTTTTTATTTTATTTTGTAGCCAGTTTAGGAGTTAGTAATGTTTTAGGATGATAATGATGATCCTAGATGTTAGCCAAACTCTTTAGACCCTTAAATATCAAAAATAAACTTTGGTAAAAGAAATTTTTTAAATGATTAACAATTTGGTAAAGGGTTTGATTGGATACCGACTAGAGATGACCATATATCAGATCTAAATAGGTACGGATATTGATCATTTTCGAGAAAAATAGGATAGGACTAATATCTTTTAAAACCGATCCAAGTTTTTAAAATAAAATAATCGCGTGATAAACTATACTTTATCCCTAACACACCCATTTTCATATAAATGAACACTTTTCTTTGTCTATTTTTTATAATTTTAGGCCGTGTCCAAATATGAAAAAATTTGATTCGCAAACTTTTGAAACCTTTAACAAAAAAAGAAGAAATAAGCTTTTTTTTAATGTCCAAGATAATTTTAAGCACTTAACATACTACCATTTCATTAAAATTTTAAAACATATGAATTCTTAAACTTTTCTATGTTTTTATAAAAAAAGATATTGGACGTAGTCCTTATAAAAATAGAACTCACGAAATTGATTTTATATAATTTAAATAAAATATTAATGAATCATAATTCTGAGTTACAAATTTAATCGATTCTCTTACGTAGATTACTAGTAAGATTAGGATGAATATTATCTGAAATGGACTCAAAAAATTATTTACTTTCTTCTAACTTTTACCCAATAAGAATTAATTAAAGAAGGGGGCATTCTAGATTAGAAAAAGAAAAACGTTTTGTCATAGTTATTTTTATAAGAAAAAATAGATAGTATATTACATTTTTAAAATAAAATCCAAAAATTGGTGAAAAAAATTGTGAATCGTATAGTCTAATAATGACCCAATTCTTTTTTTTCATTTTGCGGATTGCGAGAATTAAAAGGTTCTTTTCACTATTTTTTTAGAATAAAAACAAAATATGATATCACCAAACATAATTATGCCATATATATTAAAATAAATATAATTGTCTTGTTTAAAATGAAAACAGAGAAAATATATATTTCATCACTCGTGAAAATATTATTTATATTGTAAAAACAAAATTAATTCACTCAAATCGATATGATGTTCTGGTGTAATCTCTAATTTTATGAATAAAAAAATCTTCTTATTCTTCCATTCATTTTTTTCATCCTGTATATTAGTTTGAGAATTTATGGCTCAAAAATAATGTGGCACATTTAAATCAAATTGTTATAATTCGCGTTCCCTATTTATTTTTTTAAAATCATGATTTAAATTCAAAATTGAAAAATTATATAAAAATATATTAGTTATAATAATTATAAATATTTAGATTTTAAAAAAAATTAAATTTCTTTAAAAAAAAATAAGTGGAAATTGGTTAATAACTTTCAAAAAATATTATATTAAAACGGCATTCAATCCTTATTATAGTTTAAAATTTGAATAAAAGTGTTCCAAATATGAATACTAGTTTGTTCTGATATTTCGGTTCCCAAACCAATTCCCAAATTTGAAGTGAACCAGTTCAATGAAATATATTCTTTCTACAGAAATGAGTATGATGTGAAAATGATAGTTTAAAAATGTCCATATATTTGTACAGGGTTGTTAAAATGCTCAAAAAAGTCGATTACGCAGCAATCCGGGTAAGGTTTAGAGTTGCAAAAATTGACCCTGACACAAGCAAAAGTCGTAAAAATCGACATAGTAATAAGTCTAAAAAAATCAAACCGAACTCGATGAACAAGCCCAGAATTCTTCACTGAGTTTAATACCGTAAAAGGTTCGTAGTAGGGCTGAGCCGATCCACATATTTTTCACCGATCCGATCCGATAATTATATTGATTTTCACCACCCCCCTTTGAACCAAATGTAATTAAGAAATCAATATTTTTTATGCAAAAAATCGAATTTATGTATTTAATTTAATTTTTTTATTTTTACAATCATTAAAAAAAGTTTACGGATATTGGTAGTATTAAATGAATTTTTCATTATTCCTCCCCGTGAAATTAGAATTCCGCAGATAACGCATTTTGCAAAATATTTCCATAATTCAGATAACATATTTAAATTCTTTTATTTAAAAATATAAATAATAAAATTGAAGTTATTATTTAAAAAGATTTAAAATAAATAAAACTTTGGGTGTTCCTTTCTATCTTTATAAAACTTAAAATACTATAAAACTATTTTAAAAAATAAATAATATGTAAGGGGTGTTTGTGCATTTGCTGTCAGGGACGAGAACCCGAACCCAAACCTTCAACATTTCGCCGACCCAACCCCGAACCCTTTTTTAAAATTTAGGGCTCCAGGGTTCGAGTTTTTTTTTAATTTTAAAAATTTATTTTTTTTATTTTAAACTTTCATTTTATTTATTTTAAATTACATGATAAATATAATATAAAAACATGTAATTTACGATTTTTATATATAAAAGATTTCCTATTTAAAAAGAGTTCTTATTCAAAATATTAATTTAAAAAAACATTGGTCATTTTTTTATGTAATTATTTTTGTTATATTTAATAATTTTTTAAATTGTATTGTAGTATTATATCGTCGGTCTAGAATGGAGTGCTCCATTTACGCAAATGTTTAAAATGAATTAAATATAGGCAAAACTTATTAATCAATTTTGACAATAACTTTGGCAAAAATTAGTATATATTTTTATATATATTAGGAATAAATAAGTTATTCCACACTTTACAACTCAAAAATTTTAAATGTTTAAAATGAGAAAATCAACATTCAAATTTAAAATCAAATATAAGAAAAATATATTGATCAATTTTGACAATAACTTTGGCAAAAATTAATATTTTTTAATCTAGTTTTTATTTTTATATATATTGGGAATAAATAAGTTATTATCCACTTCTAACTCAAATATTTTAAAAATGTCGAGTGGAGCACTCCAAATCTAGATATATTATAATTATGATGGTAATTATTTTTATAGTAATACTAATTAAAATAAATTTTTTAAAAAAATGATATTTCTATTATTTTAGCTAATTTTAATAAGTAATTATTTTTCTGGCCTCCGAACCCTGAACCCACCTGAACCCTAACCGGGTTCAAAGATTTTTCACTGAACCCAAACCCAAACATATTTTTTTAGGAGGGTTCTCGTCCCTGTTTGCATTGTTTAAAAAAAAATTATTTAGAAAATATTATTAATGTAAAATAAATATACATAAAATAAGAAAAAAAAGAAAAGTAAAAAGATCGGATCGGGTTTTTACAGGCATGTAGGATCCGATATTTATGGAAAATGTTAAATATCGGTGCCGATTTGATCTGATAATAAATATCGGCAACAGCCCTAATTCGTAGTATTGTTGTTAAATAGTCGAGTTTGTAAGAATCCAAACTCAAGTCGAAGTCGTAAAATACGGTTTAAACTTGGGCTTAATGAGCCGAATCGCGAGCTAGTATTATAAACCGACAAATTGTTAGTTTGAATCCTGAGTCGGCTCGTTAACTATCTAGTTTATTTGTGCTCAAATCAACTAGGTATTTTTTATTATATGTTAATTTAATCAACCCATTTAATAAGTTGAGCACTATTCGATTTGATCCGGCTCAAACTAACCTGACTCCGCCTAAACTTATTTGATTTGTCTCGGTTTGAATCGACCCGTCCGACCAAACGTCTGGCACAGTGAATAAAATTTAAAATTAGAAATTTAATTTTAAAAAAAATATTCTTTAGCTCACGTCTTAGTCAATATTCAACAGAAACTAATATCGGGTTAACAATTAACAATATTTATTTCTATCAGATTTAATGTAAAAATGAAATAAGTTTAAAAAATAGGTGAATATGAGTAAGCCCAAATCTAATAGTAAATAAGTTATTAAATGGGTAAGTTAAATTAATATTATATTATAAAAAATAATTGGTTAATTGGGCGCAAATAGACTAGAAGGCTAGTGACGACTCGTGATTCGAACTCACATGGCTCAGTCTGCTTATAAATACTGGCGATTCGGCTCATTAAGCCCAGGTTTAGGCCGTTTTCACGAATGACTTGAGTTTGAAACCGTGTAAACTTTACTATTTAACGACTACCAACTTTTTACAATTATAAACCCTGCCCAAAATTGGGTCTGCTCATTAAATTTTGCTTATCAATTTTTTTCGACTCGTGCTCGAGGTCTGCATTCTCTCGAGCTCGGAGTTTTAGATTTTGAGCAATTTTAACACACTTGTGACAAACATGGACTCATTTATTTACAATGTCATCCGAAAACTAACTTTTTGAATGAACAATATAGAAAGATACACGCAAAAATAAGCAATTTTTTGTAAAAATAATTTAAGCAGACAGAGAGAAGGAACAAGTATTTATAATTTGTTAATAGAACCTTTTAACCAAATTCCTAAAAGAAGTGAACCGAAGAGCCTTTATCATATCCTTAAATTAGTAATAATTTTTTTTGAAAAATATCTTAATTAGTTTATAACTAATTTTTTGGAAATTTATACACTTTACTTTTGTTACCTAGAACTATTTTAATATATTTTAAACAAATTTAATCAATAGCTTTTCCCCAATTTCGGCTAAAATGAACTTTGTAATATTAAAAACAGTACCCTTTAAAAAAAATTTCCCCCTAAACCATAACCTATAAATTATAAGGTGGGTCTCAAATCTTAATGGAGAAAATTTTGGAAACATTTGAGGTAAAATCGTATTATAGAAAATTATTATAAATAAATAGCTATACCCATTAAAAATGCAAAAATTAACTTATTTGTTTTTACAAATATGTAATTTTTATTTCGTAATAATAATTAAAAATGTTTATATTAATAGGTTATAATAGCATTATATTTTTCTAAAAAATCACACATCACTTAAAATATTTGTAAAATTTCTGGAAAGGATTTTTTTACCCATATTCAGGGGCATGGCAAATTTAAGATTTTAAAACAAAACAAACTGGCTTTAGTTAATAAATAAACTTATATTCTCACCCAATTTATATTACATAATTATATTCTATTTTAGAAAATAATTTAAACTAAAAAAACTCTGAGGTTGCAAGTGTTATTTGGCAATTTGGATGGACAACTATTATAATAAAAGGTAAAAGGAGAAATTATGCAGGGAGGGGAGCACCTGTTAAAAATTATCATAGTTATTAAGTCCTCATCCTTCATCTTTTACACAAAAGGTATTCACACAAATACAAGATTGTTATGAAATTATCAATACTGATATTATAAATAAAATAAATGTATTTAGTGTTGCAGAAACCTTCATGGGCCATGATTTTCTGACCTAGCCTGGGTAAGGCCCACATTAAAAAATGTAGGCCCATATATAATATTTTCAAAAATTCCCAGGCCAGGCTCAAACCTATAACAAGTTTTAATTTTGCCCAAGCCCATATCCAAAAATTTAATTTATTGTATTAAATTAAGATAAACAATATCAATGTATTTAGGCAATCATTTTGTTTGCAATACTGAAATTTATTATTAGAGAAAAAAATTGCCAGATTTTTTTTAAGTTAGCAACTGTTAAGCTAAATTTTAATCAAAACATTTTAGGCACAAGCTTGGCCCATTAAAAAAATTTTCAAGAACCCAAGCCTGTTAGTAAATATAATATTATGGCTGGGTAAGAGTCTATGGGTCATAGGCCAGTCTGACAAACCAAGGTCTTTGGAGTGGTGACCATCAATATATTTCAAAAAATGGTAATGATCCTTAAGAGTTTATATAATACCAGTAAAGTAGTAAGTAGGGATGTACAGATATTTTTTTTCGGATTGGATTGGGCCAATATTTCACCCAATTTAAAATATCAGTTATCGGCCAATATTATAAAATATCCCGATCAGATATAAAATGGCATCTTTAACAAAAATAAAATGTTATAAAATTTTAAAAAAAAGTTATATCTATAATCATTTATTTTTATAAATAAAATCGAAATCCATTTTTATGTATTTTTTTAATAATAATAATATTAATAAACATTCTGTTATTGTTATTTATTTTTGCATTCTGTTTATAAAAGTGTGCGATAATCTCTTCAGAATCTGTTTTTAGTGAAGCTGGTGATATTGACAGTTATCAATATATTAATGTTAAATATTATTTTAAATATTTATTTCAAATTTCATAATATATTTGTTTGTTACTTATTATGTATATAGATAGTGATTTAACAATAAAAATATTTTATATACTTTTAGAATTGCAATTGAATTGAATATAAACTATAACTGATCATTATAATATATTTAAATTACATAAGTTATGGTATAGTTAAATTATAGATGTTATACTACTAAAAAGTATATTAAAAATTAATACCATTGGTATTGAATATAAAATTAGATATGATATCAGATTGATAATCGGCCGATATCAATCGGGCTCCAAAAAGTGGTATTGGTACACCCCTATTAATAAGCTAAAAAATGTATGGTAATGCTAGTTTGTATTTTTTTTTCCTGAAAATTTATAAAAATGCCTTCCAAATTGAAAAATATTTGTTTATTTTATAAAATAAAATAAATATTTTTTTATTCCTAATATTTACAAAAAAAATTCTATGAGGCTTTATCTGGGTAATCAAGAGTTTATATATTAGATATAGGTATTCATCCTAAAATACATTTTAAACTAAACTAGTCATAAGTTGGAATAGTATAAAATATATGTATTTATGTTAAAATACAAATATAAACTGCAGACCCTAACCTATTAAAATGGTAATAAATTCTTAGGTTAAAAAATTAATATATAAATGTTTAATTGATTATGAGACTTTTCTTCATTTATTAGCATAAGATAAAGACATTAGATTATATTGTAAAATTTCATAAATATATACATATTATTTGTATTGATTTATTGATGATAATTAATTTTAAAATAAAAAAATTTCTTTTCAGGTTTATAAAACAAAACAAGATATAATCCTTTTAAAAAAGTTTAATGTATGAGTTAGAGAACTAAAAAGTAGGCCCAGCCCATACCCCACCTGAACCAGGCCCAAATAGGCTTCGGACTAGGCCTAGTATTTTTAAAAAAATTTCCAAGGCCCGACCCAACCTGTCCCAAATTTTTTTAATTATATCTAAATTTAATAATTTTATGTTAAATTTTTTATGTAAAATAAAAATATTTGATTTTATTTATAGAAACTAGATGCCATATAACATATAGCTTTTATTTTGAATAATTATAAAAATTAATATCTATATTTAAATAAATTTGGGCCAGGCAGGACCAGTAAATTTTTTTTAAAAAAAATCAGGTTCAGTCCAGTCCGGCAAAACTATCTAAGAAAATTTGAGTTCTGGCCAGGTCGGCAAAATTTTTTCAGGCCGGGCTTGAAAAATTTGGCCCGATGCAGATAACTCGTGTGAGTTAAAAGATTAGAGATCATTAACTTATTTAAGGTGTCAAAAAGGAATTTGATCCTTCTGAAATATATTTTTATATTTATGATATTTAATATATTATCTGCCATAATTTCAAATAAAAAGTTTAAAAAACACTAAGAACAAAAAATATATCACAATGACTTTATTTTGTAATTCCCTTTTTCTAAAAATAAATCACTTTCTAAAAATTTTAAAAATCTGTAGTCTCAAAATTATGATATTAGGTTAAGGTTAAATAAAATAACATCAAAATTACCAATTACTACAAGAATAAAATCAATCTAAGACAAAGAATAAAATCAATCTAAGACAAAGAATAAAATCAATCTAAGACATATTTAGTCTAATATAATATGATTAATAAATAAAATATTACTCAGCAGGTAGTTCAAAGGGGTCATTCTCTTTGGATAAATATATTTCATTAATAAAAACACCATTCTTGCCAACACATCTTACCATATAACCCTGATTGGCACTTTTATATATTTCAAGATGTGTACGAGACACAAAATTAGAAAACCCAACATCTATGTCAATTTTATTATTATTTCCTTTCCGTCCTATGAGCACTTTATCACTCTTAACAACATATGTTGTATTTTGAAAATGCAAAATTCCTATCATATGAAGTGGTTGAGATTGAAGCCATTGTTGGGCATTACTAATATTATTTTGATCTAAAGGACAAGTAATTTTGGATTGTAATGAATGATGGCCATTTTCTAAATTATCTTTTTTTACAGCTGATTCATTAATATATTCTTGTGTATTATTCAAATGAAAAGCAGAAATATTTAATGTCGATTCATCTAAACTGTTCGGATTGTTGGGGATAACATTATCATGATTGGTTTGTGATTGAGAAAAGTTCATAATTTGACTCATGTGTATAAATAATTTATTCAAAATATTTTATAAAAATAAATTTAGTTGTATAATCAAATAGCGTGTCTTTTTTCATTGTGAGATCAATATAAAATAAGGAAATATACTATAAATAAAAAAATATCTCAATGTATTATTTCAAAAGAATGAAATTTAGCCATATTTAAGCATTTTTTTTAGTGCTTTAATGTTTACTAGAGCCCTTAGAAATATTTACGTTTAGATACATATTTTGAGAAATTGACTAATCTTATTGTATTTGTGAAACTAATAAAATATAAATAACTTTAAGCTATTGTGATAAGATTTAGCATATTAGGTCACGAATGCAAATGCATAAATTATAAAGTCCCATTGACTGGTTAATTCTTTTCTGGATCTTATAAAATCATATAGGGTGGCAATATTCAATAATTATATAATAAATTAATCTTTTATTTAATATAATTGTATCATGAATCAATATAAAATTTATAATATCCAGGCTGGGCAAATCGGGTAACTACCCACAATAACCTTTCAATTGTACCCTCAGAAATATTTTTTGCCAAATGGTTTATCTTAAATACAAGTATATTTAAATGATTTTTAGCTTTAACACCTTTATGAAACTATATATTTAATCCTTAAATTTTCTCTTATCCAATTTATTTTTTGGCATCTAAATCATGAACAATATTATGAAAAACAATATTTTGAAAAACAATTTATGTAAATAGGCATTCATCAGGCGCGAACTAAGAAATTTTCTACGTTTTAAATTTTTTTTTTATATTATTAAATATAATTATTAATAATAGATCCATAAAATTACTAAATAATATAATATTCAAATATATTTTTTATAAAGTGAGTAATTTTAATTTATTTATCTTAATAAAAGTCAAATATAATTATAAAACCATTAATAAAATTAAATCATAAATTAAATAAAAAAAATTAAAGCACAATATAAAAAGTGGAATATTAGATTTACAGTATATTTAATTTTATCAATTATCATATGACAATCAAGTAATTTTTATCAATATAGCGAATTATATATTTTATAGAAAACTATAAAATATTGATAAGGACATCAGAAAATATCTTTTAAAGACATTGTGGGATGAATAATTTGAAGATTAATTTTAATATCATTTTGAAATATATAGATGGCGTTAAATAATTGAATGCAAATTGTTGTTATCAAGAGCATTGATTAGAAAAATTTGTAAAAAAGTAATATGTATTTTGAACTAATAATAGGAGAATATCAACTATATGTTACTTTAAAATAAATTTTTAATACTTGTTTGGAATAAATTATTACCATGCTTTTATATTAATGTATATACATGTAATTTATTATATTTTATATAAACTAATAAAAGTATATTTCATATTTGTTCCAGGCTGCTTTTTTTAAAAAAATTAACCTCCTATCTTGTAAAAATATTTATGACTATATATAGACTACGGCCCACCCTAAATGGGGTCTGGGGGCGAAGCCTCCAGTAATCCCCCCCCTTAGGAAAATCCTGGCTATGCCTGTGAACGATAATATTGAAATTTGTTTATATAGGTGTAAGTAGTGGCTTACGAATCTCAATAATTTCACCTATGAACCAACTATCATGTAAATCACGTGAAATGGTCGATATTATTTCCTAGTTCTCCTAGATATAATATAATGATATTCACGATTCTCATAACTTCAGTCTTTTCCATATAATATATTAAAAAATACTACATGAAATTGTAATGTAATTAAAAATTTATTAATACATTCCAATGCAAATATAAATCGCCCATTGTATTTAATATTAATGTATCTTCCTTAGGTGAAATATCTGGTTCAGGCATTCTTATTTTTCTCCAAGGGAATTAAAAATGGCTCTCCTAGATCCAAAAATGTGGTAACAACTTGATATCGAAAGTTCCTACATGTCGGCCTAGTTTTTTTCTTCTTGTAGCACAAGATGTTTCTGAAATAATCCAATTCAGAAAATACAATCTCTATGGATATCTAAACATATCATGCACTCTATAAATACTGCGCAATTATAATAATAAATAGATATAAATTAAATATATGTTTTGGGTTGATATAATGTAAGAAAATACATTAAATATTTGTTAATTTTAATTTTTTTGCTAAAATGTAATATTTATATACTATTCGAGATAGAATATTTGCAATTCACAATTCATTTAAACCTTTATTTTTTAAAATTTTTGATACCCCTCTCTTGACTACGTTTCCAGAATTTATGGTTTTAAATAGTTGATTATATCCCGACAATTAATAATCGTCTGTACAATAACGATACCAAATCTAAATCGGGTTTGGTAAAAACGCATTTATTACATTTTTAAGATTTTCTTATAGTTAAATAAAACTGAATGTTAAATGGCAATTTAACCTATTTTTTCGCTTATTTTTTTAAGGAATTATAATTAGCATATATATAATATCAAAGATATTCACTCTTATTCGATCATTCTTAAGACGATATAAATAAGGTAATTATATTGGAAACAGTTTGTGCTCATATACGAATTATGTAATTTCCTTAAAGCGGCCTAATATCTTATCGTTTGTGTTAGAGAGCATGATGTTTTTTTTTAAATTGCTTCCCTGAAAAATTGATTTGAGTAGACAGAACCATATAATAATCAGGCAGCTACGTATTATTTTTTAAAAAAAATTAAATATTACATCATAAATAGGAATAAAAATATTGTATAGAGACCTAGTTCAGAACGCTCAATCGGCCTCTAACATTAGTCAATTCTATATTAGAATATAAAAAAACATTTTATTTCCACTAAAAAATTTTTACTGGTCAAATAATATTTTTTAATATTTTTACTTGTCAAATTTAATTTTACTAATCAAAAAATACTGACTAATTTTATATTTAATACTGCTATGTGATATTCTATTTTTTAAACTAACCAACTTATAATTTTATACTGGTACATGGAAAAAGTATATTGACCTGTTAAGGTTGGCAGGGAGTAAGCAAAATTAAACAAAAAGATTACAAACTTTTATTAAATAAATATATTTTTAAAGGTTATTGCTTAAGTCGAAAGATATATTATTTTTTTTTTATTTTTTTTTTTTGTTATTTTTTTTTATGTTATTTTTTTTGTTATTTTTTTATGTTATTTTTTTTATGTTTTTTTTTAAATGTTATTTTAAATTAATATAGTATTATTTGGTGATAATTTTTTTTGTGATAAATTTTTAAAATATTGTTGCATATTTTTATTATTTAGTGATAATTTTTTTTTGTGATAAATTTCTAAATAATAGCATATTTTTATTATTTGGTGATAAATTTTTAAATTAATATGTATTTTTTCTTTTAAGATATTTTAAATTATTTTTTTCTTTTTTAAAAATATTTCTTAATTCCTAGGGAGGGGAGGTAGGTAAAAGAATTGTGTCTACATATTTTTCTAAAAAATTGTTTTTTTAAAGAAATAATTCGTAGTTCCGATTATTATTAGATTATGTATATATATAATATGATTCCTTCCATACTAACTTAATATTATTTCCGTTTTTTTCTTTTAAAATGAATATTTATACACTAGGTGTGTTTACTAATACTGTTGAAACAACTTATCAATTTTGCCTTAATAATCAATTAATCCCTTTAGGAATAGAGCATACTTGTTGCAATTCCATAATGCGGGTAGAAAAAAATAAGAATAGTTTGCGATATCGATGCAATAGATGTCGTAGATCATATTCGATATGGAAAGGTAATATTAATTTTATAACATAAATGACAAATTCTTAGATTCTATTTTTGAAGGGATTCAGGACGTTGGGAAATTTTTAAGACTAGTATACCTGTATATAAGTACTAATTATTTAAAAAATATTAAAGAACAAAATTATTTTTAGGCCGTTATAAAATTTTAAGTGCTTCGAAGGAATTGGATTATCATAGGAATGAAATTTCTGGATGGTAATTTAAAGTAAAATATGGTTTTTATATTTAATTTATATAGGTTTAAAAAATTTCGCAAGGTATGTGGGTTCCATATAGCTTCGAATCATACAAAGATCGGGGGGCCTGGCAGAGTTATCGAAATAGATGAAACTCATGTGTGGAAGCGTAAATATAATCGTGGCCGGCATTTGATTTCCGAGGCTATATGGATCATCGGTGGCATATGTCGCGAGACGGATGAAATATTTCTAAGTGCAACAACAACGAGGGATCAAGATATCACACTGCGTGTGGTTAAAGATAATGTTATGCAAGATTCCACGATAATGACTGACTCATGGTTAGGGTATGTAAATATATTTTTCTGTAAATCAAAAGTAGTAATATATTTAAATCTATTTATCTTAGATATAATCGGTTGGATCAAACAAATTATTTCCATTATAGGGTCAATCATTCCCGAAACTTCGTTGACCCAAATGATAGATCCATTCACACCCAAAAAGTCGAAAGACTGTGGCGGGATCTTAAGGAAAACTATAAAAGACATGGGGATCGAGAGAATATTCATGAATATTTACTTGAATATAGATATTTTAGAAAACATAAATTATTAAATCGCTTTGATCTTTTTATTCTATTTATAAATGACTGTATACATTTTAATACAATTTTTCAATTTAATGAATAAAATTGACTCGTTTATTACTATATTTCGATATTTTTTATTTTGTATAAATTTCAATAATATATTTCAATTTATTTCGAATTAACCCTTCCCAACAAAGGTTAAAAAAATCACTTAGAATTTAAAGATGGGGTCTATTTTACCCCTAATAAATACAAAATTTAAGATTTTATGCTAAATTTCCTAAAATTGCTTAGATTATCAGACTATATTTCAATTTAATGAATAAAATTGACTCATCACAATTCTTCTACCCTCCTCCCCTCCCTAGGAATTAAGAAATATTTTTAAAAAAGAAAAAAATATTTTAAAATATCTTAAAAGAAAAAATACATATTAATTTAAAAATTTATTATCAAATAATAAAAATATGCTACATTATTTTAAAAATTTATCACAAAAAAAATTATCACTAAATAATAAAATTATGCAACAATATTTTAAAAATTTATCACAAAAAAAATTATCACCAAATAATAC